CAGGATGTTCAACAAATTCTCCTGATACGGCAGGATGCTTTGCGACTTCCAAGTGAACAAAGCTTTGAGGGACAATCGCTGGATATCGGAATTACCGTGACAAAGCAATCCCAGCAGCGCATCGTGAACCTCGGGTGCCCTGAACAAGACCTTGGGATTGATAAATCTTCCGAAGAGGGCAAGGAATGACAAACGATCCTTAAAGCCCCAGGGAACATACTCCCCATGTGCTGGCATATCCGACGAGTCGGACTCGGGTTCCAAATGTGCAGTATCCTCCTCATCATGCTGGGCCCATGACATAAACAACGGAACGACTTGACGAGACCGTTTCTCAGCTATTATGGGAGCTGCGTTGAGAACCTTAAGAGCGTGGGTACGAGGAGCAGTGGGGAGGACTTCTGCAAATTCGTGTTCCTTATCGAGGGTCCGTTGCAGTACTGCAACCGGCTGCACTGCAACTGAAAAGTTTGCACCCTGCGCTCTCTCGATTCTCGCGGCGTTGAAGCACCCGTACTCTCCATATGCGCGGGGGTCAATATCGTCCTCTTCGGTCTCCTCATCTGGCAAGTCAGGACCACGCTCGTGGAGCCATCGAATAGCGATGTCCGAAACGATCTTCTCTCCCTCTGAATGTTCGCTAATCGTCTTCAAAGCCTCCGCTGCATCATCCCAAAGAGGACCAAGTTTCTTCGAGAACAAACCGAAGCAAAAGTGAGGTATCAAGGTGGCCATCCATCTGCGAGAAACTATTTGTGGGTAAAGGATGACGAGTTTGCGTAGTTGCATGGAGATGACTCGGGCAGTATCTATGTTGAGAGGACTCTCTTCAATTTCAATGGTTAGAGATAGCGGAGAGGCATCTTCGCCTATGGTCTGGAGTAGTCGTTGCAGGACCTTGAGGGACAGCAATCGTGATTCATGCGACGGGCCGGCAAGGTTCGTGATTAGGGCATTAGCAAAATCATCCGATATTGAGTCCTTGAAGCTGGAGGTCTTTGAACAAGCTGAAACGTAGGACAAGACTGCATCGAGGAAGAATGGAAGACGGGTATATTTCGTGGCCACTTGCTTGATAGAATCCCAGAGATTCAAATCGAGGTCGTCAGACTCGGCCGCAAGGTCGACATAGGCTTTGAATCCTTGGCCAAGGAAAAACTTGGTTGTGACTGATGGCTCAGATTCATTATCGGTCAACGCATTAGTTAAGTGATCGTGCAGGCTCCGGACAAGATCAGGTTGAATAGACTGATCGGAAAACAACAATATGGCCTTTGGAAGCTTCGAGTACGCATTCATTAAACCGACTTCTGCAACGTCGGGGCTAGATTGATTCAACGTCTCCTTTATACGAGACTTCCAAGAGGTAGGGCAAGTGATGTAACCAGGCTTAGATGACTCGGAAGTGACACAGCCGGCCTGATTCAAGCGCAGTATTGTCAAGCACAATTCATACTCATGCTCGCGCCATGAAGAGTTGACAAACCTGGATTAAATTAGTATTCAATGGTCTAAACCGCATGATGCTAGATTCTTACTTCTGGAAATAAGGAAGGACAACTCCATGGAATCTCTCGGCTCCATATTCTGAAAATGTGGAGCAAAAAGACAAGAAGTAGGCTGAGAATTTGTCGTCCGCTACAGCATCCATAAGAGGTCGCATGAATGGCAGCATCACATCCATACGAGACACCTGGAGTGCATAGGCCACTGTCGTTAGAAGTTGAGGCATCGAGCCAGCGTACGCACTCAATGCAGCCGCAGCCTTCTGAAGCAAAAGAAGCAAAGTCTCGTGGACGGTCTTCCAGTTGCTCACCCTACAACCTTTACGGGTTGTAACACATAGGAACAGCAGGCGACAGCAGATCTCGGCGCGGCGCCTGTCCGGTTTCCTGGAATGGATCTCGATATATGACGTGACGGTGTTTAGGATGGGCTCGAACGTCGCGGCAGTCGTGTCATGGCAGAGGTTCATGACGATACCACCGGCGACTTCCAGTGCTAATCCACGTTGTAAATCATCCTCCGCGCATGCCTTCTCTAGGAAGCAGCTCAAGATGTCGGTTCCGTTGGAATGGATTCCTCCTTTGACTCCTTTGATCGAATCTGAGAACATAGCCATCAGTCCCTCTTTGTATGTCTCGACATTCTTCGAACTCGCCGCTGTCTCTCGCAAATCATTCAGTAAAAAGGATATCGCAAGCTCGAGGGGCTCCTTGTTCTTGTAATAGACAAGGCCGGCCTTGCGGATGAGGAAGGACATCGACTCGGCGGCAAAACGGGCCACGAACGGCTTTTGGCGCTCTCGTCCTAGATAGGGGGCCATGATACTCAGAAGTTGTCTCAAGTCCGGCACGAGTAGTTTCGAAAGGAACTTGAAAGTCCACGCTATACAAGAGAAACTCCATTCGACCACCTCAACTTCCGGGTGTGTAGCAGCAACCGAAGCCACTAACGTCACAGCAGTCGCGAAATGCTTCTCAAACCGCACCCCCAAGTCCCTCGCAAACTGCGCAAGAAGACTCAGAAATGCTTCCATGGAATGCTCGTCCCTCTTCTCGATACCCTCAACCAACAATCCCATAATCTTCTCTTCATGGTACAGGATCTGAGCGAGACTCTCGGATAACGGACTAACTCGACGGGCAAACTGGGAAAAATTTTCGGACAAATTCAACTCGGACCAGTGATCGAAAGCCGATCTGAAGTATGAAGACGTCTCGTCGCCTTCTTCGCCAAAACTCGGCCGGCGCACACGGTGAATCGGGTCGATTTTAAGTTTTGCGACGCGCTGTGAGAACGGCTCGAATCGATGGTTTTTGGTGGTTTTCGTGTTGTTTTTTAGCCGTCTCACGGACTGGGGCCGTGAGTTCATCGACGCCACTACCATCCTAAAATATATGAGCAGCGCCGGCTCAAAAGTGTCTATTGTAGATATCTCGAGGCGTCTGGATCTCTTCCTCCATCAAAAAAAATTCATCGGAGCAAGTGTTGTTCCGGTGCGGAGATTAGCTCGGTGTTTGTATACAACGCTAGCCTATCGCGGTTAGCATTGGTGTCACGTGAAATAAAGATGGCCCAAGCTCCTTTTTGGAAATGGCGATTCTTCGTCGCGTTGCCAGAACAGACTAAGCGGACCCTATATTTCACTTTCATTGTTTAGAAACAATTCTGTTCAACTGCCGCTTACATTTGGGTGACCCGCGACGAAAGGCATTGAGGCGTGTGTGTGATGTTGATGTCATATTCCACTTGAAAATGGCGTCCAAAATGTAACTCTACCGTGAAGCCCTCTGTGTAATGCACTGCTAACAAGAATAGAATTGTCATTGGAAATGTAAACTGTGAGCTACGAGAAGTCTTCACTAAGCTCGCCAAACTTCAAGCCAAACAAAATTTCGCCTTTGCAATCATTGCCGGTGATCTCTTCGGCGACTGCACGACAGAGAAAGAACTTGATGAAGTCAGTGCATTGCTACAGGAAACTATTATCGTCCCTCTTCCGACCTATTTCGGCCTCGGAAGCAGACCACTTCCGATGCGGGTGGTGGAAAGGATAGAGGCAAAGGACGAGGTGTGCTCTAACCTATATTTCCTGGGGAAACGCGGGACTCTGAAAACTTCCGAGGGAATCAGACTCGTGTCTCTCGGTGGGGTGCTGGAGAATGGAAAACAGAGCAACAGATTCCACCCGGGGTATACAGACGCAGACGTGCGGGCTCTTTATAGTACAAATAGTGCGGACATCCTAATCACGCACCAATGGCCGAAGGGAATCCGAACAGGGTCCAAAGTCCAGCTTCCAGACGGTGTCACTACTACCGAAGAAACAACGCCTCTTGCAGACCTCTGCTCAACACTAAAACCACGTTATCATATCTCAACTTCTGACGACTTGTTTTACGAACGTGAACCCTTCTTTCACATGCCTAGTGAAGAACAACCCGACGAAAAACCCCTAACCCGTTTCCTCAGCTTAGCATCCTACAACAACTCCTTGAAGCAGAAATGGATGTACGCCTTCACTATCGACCCTAAGACACCCCATCCGCTCACCGTGCCCATGGGTGCAACCGCCTCCCCGCTAGGCCCCGTACAAACCAAGCGCAAAGGCCTCGCAAGCCAGCGTGAATCATACCACCGCTTCGCAGGCCCCGAAGACTACGAACGCCCCCGCAAGCGCACGCGTGGACCACCACCAGGACCCCAGGAGTGCTTCTTCTGTCTCTCTAACCCCAACATCGCCACACACCTTATCACCTCCATCGGAAACGAATGCTACCTCACCACCGCAAAGGGGCCGTTGCCATCCGCTAAAACATTCCCCGAACTCGGATTCCCATCACATGTCCTCATTATCCCCTTCACACACACACCTACACTCAACACAGTCACAGATAAGGAGGCCCGTCTATCTACCTACACCGAAATGCAGCGCTACCGTACCTCTTTGCATTCTATGCTCAAGCAGCGCGTGAGCAACCAATTAGGCGCAGTGACATTCGAAGTCAGCCGCGGAAACGGTATCCACATTCACTGGCAATTCGTCCCCATCGCATCCGATACGGTCATGCGCGGGCTTGTCGAGGCAGCCTTCAAAGTCGAAGCGGAGAATCTAGGCTATCCCAAATTCGAAGCCCCGTCTGAGGCTGCACGTGAAGATCCAAGTGCTGAGCCCGGTGATTTCTTCCGCGTCTGGATCTGGGCCCCTTCATCTTCTGAAGAGGAGCAGAAAGAAGATACCAAACCAGAAGAGAAATGCATTATCCTCCCCCTAACCCCCGACTTCCGCTTCGACCTCCAATTCGGCCGCAGAGTCCTGGCCAAGTTAATGGGTTTAGAAAAGCGAATCCACTGGAAAGACGCCGTGCAGTCGCAGACTGAAGAAGAGGCTGATGCAAATGCATTCAAGGAAGCGTTTAAGGAATTCGACTTCTCGCTGGAATGATCTCTTTCTTCGAACTACCATGATACATTACACCACACATCTAAATATTAATACAAAAGTCACTTTAGAACCAGTAGTATTACCCTATCCTACACCCACTTCTATCCCTCAGTAATCTCATCGCTCGAATATACAATATCAACATCAATCAAATCCCCTCGATATCAGTAGAAACACCCTCTCCCAATTTAACCTCCAACAACTCATCCAGCGAAACGTCTTCTGGCACTTCGAAGCTGTTTACCCATTAGTCCCTGCTCAATTCCTGTACTAGAATACCGGGGGCGCGCATACATGGTAAACTGCGTCGGCGGAAATGAACCCGGCTGCGCGATAAGCTGCTTGAAATCCCAAGCACCCTTTTCGCCGTACTTGGTTTTTACTCTTCAATCATAATTATCAGTCTGCACATGTATATATCATTGGGGGAAATAGGGAAATGAGGAAAGAGAAAAGGGACATACGTATTCTGGATATCTTTCCCGAATTGCTCGTAGGCCCCGGGGTTCTCGTATTTGACTTTAAGGGTCTACCGAAAGAACACAGTTAGTACATTATTTTTCCTTCTTTCGAGAAGTAGGGGATAATAAGACATAAACATACATAAAAAGGCATTTCGCTTTCGCTGTTACTTCTGCACTCGCGCTCAACGCCCAAAATTCAACCCGTCGAAAATGCAAAACCAAGATCTATATATCTGATATGTTCAAACTAAATAAAACCCGTCTGTCCTTGTTTGTCTATCGATTTCAAAACGCGATGAGATGAGATGAGATGAGATGAGGCGACACGACACACGACAGCAGCAACAAGCAAGCGACAGCCACGTGGCATATCATGCAGTCCCATGTTGACATTTCAGTTGGATTGGACGGTGTGGTTTCTGTGTTTGTCGCGGTGTGATACTTGTAATCTTTTCTGGCGTACGAATGATTGTATACCTTGTTGTGCTTATTATCTGTTACTTGCTGTGGGGGTTTAGGCTAGTGAGAGGCCAGGTAGGATAGGGTGTGTATGGAGTATTGACAGCATTGTTTTAGTGATTAAACCGTGTACTATAACTATATATGACTTAGAAAGAGAATGGGTGCTATGTGGGTATTTTGTGCACCCTGTGCACATAGACATAGGACTAATAAAGACCGAGAAAAGAAAAGTTATTCACAACGAAGAAAAAGAAGTCAGACACCGAGCCCGAACAACCCATACAGAACCCAACCATAACATAACGAACAATTTCCTTTGTCATAAAATCAATAATACCAGATGTGATCACTTTCAGAAATCCCCCTAGAAATTCACTGAAGGCTTCCGTCCACTCTGCAACAGACTCGGGGGCCTGCCCGGGCCATTATTCGTTTCGGTGAAAGGTGGCGGTGGGGACGCTGGAGAAGCGGCTGGCGATAGTCCGCGGTAACTTGGTGGCTGGGGAAATCCCGAAGAGGGCTGCCGGAATGGCATTGCAGGTGATTGTTGGCGGAATGGCATGCCAGGTCCGGGGGAGGGCTGCCGGAAGGGAACGCCAGGGCCGGGGGAGGGTTGGCGGAATGGCATACCAGGGCCAGGAGAAGGTTGACGGTAGGGCACAGCAACTCCAGGAGACGGCTGGCGATAAGGTACAGGATCAGGGGTGGAGATAGCGGAGGGCATGGGGGTATATTGCGAAGGAGTGTAGGCGGCAGGTGCTGGAGAGATCGATGGCATCGGGGTGTACTGTCGAGGCGCGTATGGAGCTGGAGCTGGAGTTGGGCCGGGCGGTGACATGGCATACGGGTAGTCTCCATAAGGCTCATCATACGGCGAAAGCGGAGCAGTAGCAGCCGGGGGGGATTGCGGGCCCGGAGAGCGTCGCGCATGCATATTCTGTTCACCATAGAAGCTAGGCGTAGTACCCGTTCTGGCAGGCGGGCCCATGAAGCTTGCAGGGGATCTAGGAGCAGATGGGGATCGGCGAGGCTGGTTCAACGGTTCCATTTCCATATCCCCCGTGCTGGTGTCTTCGACCCGTCTGGTCCGAGCATTATCCCAGGTAGGCATTTCAGGCAAAGCATCCTCGTTAACCTTGAACCCAGTCTTGGACGGAGCTGGGCTACTGGGGGTATCGAATCGCGCGATCTGGGCACCCCGATACGTAGGTGGAGCCATGGGAGGAGGAGGCTGATAGACGGTTGCTTGTGGCATAGGAGGCGGCGGCTGATGATACGGCGACTCATCGTCCATGTATTGCTTCCGAGAACCCTTATTCTTCCGCGGCGACGGGCAACAACAGGATAGACAGCGACAGCATGAGGTGCAGCATTGGATGCCGCAACAGAGACAATTGATAATACAAGCCAGGATAGCGATGATGATGACTGCAGCGACAATGATTGCAACGATAACGGGCCATTTGCAGTAGGACTTGGCCATACATTTGTCCCAGCTGGAAAAGGTCTCTGGCGCGGATTTGAAGTCGGAAATGGCATCTCGCGCCCATAGCATGGACGATTTACCCACAGGACTCATGCTGGTAGTGTTGCGATGGTTATGTTCCTCCACACGAAAATGATATCAGACAAATCGAACGGTCAGGTCACAAATAAATCGGTCGATATTTCCCAGGAAAGATGGCGTGGGATTCAAACGAACGTCATGCACGGTCGGTCGTGGTGCGATTTGAGTCCGGGGTATCGTCGCAGATGCGGTTTCGTAAATATTGAAGAACACCCAAGCTAATCCCAGCGTAGATTTCTGTAGAGTCTGAGAGTGAACATATGCTAGATAAATAAACTAAAGCAAAGATATACAGGGAAAAAAAAAAAAAAAAAAAAAAAAAAAAAGAGAAAGTGAGAGATATTGGGGAGGCGAAACGACGGAACAACACTGGGAGGAAGCCTCAAGGGGCCTGGCTGGGCTCGTAAATAGAGCCCTTTTTTAACGAAAGACAGATTATTGAAAGAAGGAAGGAGCGACGAAAAGGCGACAGAAAGAGCGAAGAAGGAGAAGAGGAGAGCAGGAGGAGAGAAAAGGATGGAGGAGAGAGGGAGAAGACGGCACAGAAAGGGAGGGACGATCAGCGGTTCTCGGCGACGGCAGGCATTAGCATTATATGCATACCAGTACATAGGAGTAGTAGCAGTAATGGTCTATTATAAGGATAAGGGTAGAAATTTCATAGAATTAAAGATGCGAATTTGGTATTCTCATTGGTACAGGGTACAGTCTCGACTCCGAGACAAGCCCTGGCCATCATTACAGTAGATCATGCAGCGCTTGGTATACATGAAAGACAAAAAAGACAATGAAACAAAATACTAGCTGAAGATCTCCTGCATATATTGAAACAAAAAAAAAATAAGAATCCCTCTTAACGCCTGGTTCCGGTCGATCCATGGACTAATAATGCTGCCGTTCGTTTAATCTGCATACTCGTATCTTCATGTCTTTCCAGCCGGTGGAGGACCTGGTGGAGGCGGATAGGCCGGCTGTCCAGGCCCGGGCTGCTGGTATGCATTCGGTGGTGGCTGCAGTTCAATCCCATTCGGTTGCCCGCCAAAGTACCCGTATGTTTGCGGATTCGGCGGCGAATACTGCGGAGGCGGCTGCGACGGATAATACACATCCCCATAATAAGGCTGATTGGGGGGAGGAGGACCAGGCGGCGGAGCCATCCAGCTGGTGCCAACGTGCGGCGGGAGACCACGCCGGCGACGGCGACGGGCGTTGACGCATCTTGATCCAGGTTAGCGTGAAGATTAATGCCAAGAGATGGGCAGGGGTGTACATACGCCAGAAGAAAGAAGATGATCAAAGCTGCAGCAACAATGACAGCAAAAGCAACCCAACGACCCCAGTCATACCAGGTATTCCTATCGCCGCAGTGTAAACTGTCGGTCCAGCCAGACCCGTAACTAAAGTCGAATTAGTTTTCGACTTTTTCAAGTAGCAGAGAAACAAGACTTACCAATCTCGCCGCGGGAAAATAACTCCCATAATGACTGGCAAGATGTAAGAAGAAGATGCGATATTGTTATGTCTTCGCCGAGGTGTTTTTTGGCCGCCGAGGAGGCCGGGCGGATGACGTCGTCGATCAACGCAGTAAGTAGTAGAAGTAGAGTTGCTGACTGTAACAGATCCGATAATAACTGATCAATACAGTCCTTCAAGATGGTGAAGTTTTATACGCTCAAGAAGAAGAAGATATTGTAGTAAGAATAAGAAAAGAAAGAGTCGTAGAAAGGCCCCAAGGGAGAAAGATTCCGTCACGTGAAATTTCGTGGCGCAAAACTTGGCGTCCGTTTTTGGCAAAGGCGTAGGCATCCACGTTTTCGCTACGGCCTATATTATTATATCTTCACTTTTTAGAGTACAGAGTAAAGGGGCCGAAATAATGCCTTGTAGGGCTGCTCCCATGTGGGCCCCGGAGATCAGACTATTTGAGGTATAACCTAGCCAAGTCGCACCGCCAAAGATCGCTGCGACATTCTGAGACAGAAGGACTATACAAAAACCCAGCCATCTTCTATATGCACTCTCATAACCAGCCACACCTTCAGATCTCTCTAACTCTTCCCTTAGCGCGAACCCTTGGCAAAGACACGCAGCGACAAGGCATACAACTATGTAAAAGTCGTCTTGAAGGTTCTGAGCCAAGAAACAGCTTCGGGTCTTTTCGAAAAGTCGCTGCATCCGGACTCTGAGTTGTTCGCGCAGGTGTTACCCTGAATCCCCATTGCTGCATGCAATCTCTTGCGACTGCTTTGGGTTAATGATGTGATATCGTCCGGTCATGTATTTTGTAATTTGCTGTAATCTCCAGCCATGTGATATTTGCTCATACTGCTTGATATATCACAGCGAGGGCCACGCCTTACTGTACAGAGTACCTGAGTATGGTACATTGCCGATTTTGAAACCAGGGCAACGTACCCAGATAGCAGTTTCATGGGACAAAGACGGCGGGTGTTCTATGGGGGGGGGGAAACAATATCCAGATTCATTGCTCTAATTGGCAAGTGTCCGGTTGGTTATATTCAGAAAGACCGCCACTATTTATTTTGGTCGCAAGGTACGAAGCCACAAGTAGACATTGCAAGGCCCAGCTCTAAGAGACGTAGTCTTGGTCATCTTTTTTCTCAAAAGACTAGGTAGCTCTTCGAGCCCTCTTTAGCCCTTCGTCTCATATAATGTGGGAGTCAGCAACAGCAAGATGATGGTGAGTATGGTTTCATTCCTCGGCCTATATATGAATATCCTTGTTTCTGAGAACTGGTACGTTACCAACTGAAAGACAACTTATGGGAAGTTCGGCCAAAATACAATCATGCTGCTATATATAGAGACAATGCATGAGTCCACTCGCTGAATGAAAACAGGATGAGTGAATGAATGCTCGGTTTCCCTTGTATAATGGTTAAACAAAGCAGGCTATTCACTTCAAGTAAACACATGCACACTTTTGTCTTTCCCTCTGACTCGCTTCCAACAACATCCACTTCTCATACTCGATACCAACAAAGTCAAATCCTACACCTATTCAAGATCTCCAGTGAAATAAAAACGAGCAAACAGCCAGTCTTGGGTTTTGAGGTGGGCTGCTAGTTCCACGTACTTCTGGACAAGAGATTTAGGAACCGTGTAGGTTTGTCCTCGCTCGCCAAATTGTAGGGTTGCTGGCTCATCCTGTTATGGTCTGTGGGGTAATTTGTCAGTATCTTATAATGGACGTCGGCTGGAGTGACTTACGAGACCGCCGCAACAGCATTTCGACTATTTGTTGCTACGATATTAACAAATACATTGCCCACACTATAGTTCATTATCTCTACATCGACGAATGCCAAACGCTTCGATTTTTGGTCTTTTAGTCTTTTTGTTGGCACGGCATTAGTTTGTCATTTTATTCAAAATTTTTCTTGATTTTTCGTGTTATGTTAAGTCTTTTTGCCTTTAGATGTCTATTGAAACCCTATAACTACCTGATTTATATATACCCCCCACTAAACGATTTCCGGTAACCACTGTACTCCGAATATACAAGCGAAAACTATCTCTACTCTACCAATGAAGATATAAGAAAAGAAAAATCACTGGTGAATGTCGACTGTCATTAAATCCGGAAAAACAGCAACCAATGCCATTCCTCCCTCTCACTCAGCCCTGATGCACGACAGCTGCTTGTTGGCGGGGTTGGCGCCGGACATCTGCAATGCCAACGCATCGTTGGTCTGTGTGTAGTAACCTGCCATTTCATACTGATCTATATAATCGATGCATGTACCTTCCTTCCGTTTTCTTGCACTGCATTTTTACATCTATATTTCTGTTATCTGTTCTACTTTGTTTGATGAAGAATCATTATATTGATATCAAAACTAGCCGTGTATGAATACAAGACGGTTGGGCATCACTTCATTATCATTATCATTATGACCTTCGCCAGTCAAATAAAAAAAAAATCCAAAACTAAAATCAAAATCAACTGCAATGACACTCCTGGATTGGGTAAGAGAATCAGATAAAAACGCTTGCGGTGGTATATACCGGGCTGATCCCGCATCGTCGACATCGGTAGCACTCCCTGATAGCGAGCCAACAGAATCTACAGAAAATGATAGGTTACCGAGAGAGAGGAGAAAAAGAGAGATAGGATGGGAGAGCAGAAAGGCGTTCATCGACTGGCCCGTGCAATCAACCAGTGCAGCACTGCATCTAGGTTCGTCTCCTCTTTGGCGCTGATGCCGTAGCAGCTCACTTCGCGATGCGTGATCGATTTCAAGTCCATCGCCTCGATCAGCTCATCGACGGAGAGTTTATCCGGGAGATCAGACTTGTTTCCTAGGACTAAAAGTGGGATGCCGTCCAATGCAGGCTTCTTCATCAGCTCGTGCAGTTCCTCCGTCGCAACCGGTAGCGCGGGGCGATCAGCAGCGTCCACGATGTATCTGATATAATTCTGTCAGTCTACCACAATTAAAAGAGGAAAGATATGAGTGCGAGCGTACACAATTGCATTAACGCCCCGGCAATATCGCTCCCACATCGGACGGAAGCGTGGCTGTCCACCTAAATCCCAGCTGCACAAGATCAGCTGTCCTGTTCAAATCTTCCAGAAAAGCCGATGATACTGACCATTTCAGAGTCACATGTCCCTTTTGTACTCGTTTCGTGTTGAATCCGATCGTCGGAATGGAGCTGCGGATGGCGTTTAGCGGGCGTCTCAACCCATGCTGGTCCTTGTATAGGACTCGTTCAGTCCCTACGGGAGGATATGCGACTTACTCTACAGTAAATTCGGCTCCCTGCGGCGGTGAACCCATCATTAGCCATTCGGGTCATTTCCGGGAGTGAGAAGTCAAGCATACCGCAAGCACACGCAATAACGAGGATTTCCCTGCGTTCTGGAGGCCAATCATGGTGACATCCATTTCCGTCGCCCTGCATTTACCATCATGGTATTGTTCTTAGCTCCGGTGTGCTCCTTCATTTCCAACAGAAACAATCGTGAACAAAACGGTTGGCGGGGAACGGGCCGAGAAGGCTATTTATTCGCGGGCGCAAACCACCACACAACCGAACGCTGGTGGAAACAAATAGCCCACTTACCAGAACATCCTCAGAAGCCAGTCATAAATCGTCCGAAAGATTCCTGCCATGATGAAAGATATATGTGTACTGTCGGTCTGCCGGTCCGTCGGTGTGTCGCTTGTTCCGTTCGTCGTCGCAGAGCGCGCGCAAAGATAAAGCGGAGAATGTCGCAGTAGGATGAGAAGAAGGCGCAGAACGGCGTACAGGCGGCTAGCAGCTGAAATTTGCCCCAGATCAGTTCAGTTCAATTCAGAATTTAACGAGAATAGCCCTGTTCAAATGCGCTTTTGGTTTCGAGGTCCGTCCAGTCCGGATAAGCAGGAGGAATTTTGTAACCAGTAGGTGGGGTTGGTGGGATGCTGAAAGGGAATCTTCGTCATAAAAGGGCTTTGAGGATTGCGAATACTACCACAGTCAAACAATTCTGCACAGCAGCGACAAAAGTTATAAACCTGGTATAGAAGTCGAGCAAGTTGAAGTGACTAGAAAGAGAGGAGGGAGCGCGCGCAAGTGAAGAAGCGCCGATGAAACCAGCGGAGGAGCTCAAGAGACCAAAGCGCAAAGTCAAGTCGGAGCAGTCGAACGATCGTCTAGCAGTAGGAACCGACAATAACAACAGCGTTGATAGTTATTAACGCGATGAAGAATGAGGTCTCTTCGTCCTGGTGGTCACTGCCAGAGTGATAAGCACGGTAGAGTTCCCCTGGATGGATATGGAGTGATCTTCTAAGGCAGTTGGCTGTCGCAAACTGTAGGCGTATTAAATAGAGAAAGGAATGATATTAGCGTATCTTTGCGCCTGTCTGAGAAATGTTGATAATCATCGCAAGATTTGAGACTGCGATGAGATCAGGAGCACGAGAATGTCCGTCTCAGGCACAAAGGCACCATAATATTACTGCCTGAGGCATAAATATTATCACCACGTGATGATAAGATCGAAAAATTTCCCCGACTAAAAAAACGACTCTTCTCTTCCACTTCAGACCACCCCCGGCACGATTCATTATGGCACCCGCACCGACAAACACCGAGTGGTCGGTCAATTACGACGTACTCCGCCGGGAGCAACTTTTCAGACATCCACCAAAGGACCACACGGCCTATCCTGCCTTGTCCGCTGCAATCCGGCCTCATATCGATTCGTTCAATGCGCTCTTCGACGACACCAAGGTGCTTGAGCATGGATTGAGGGATATCGGCACCAAGACCTTCCTTGATGGGGATGTCGAAACTGCGGAGCAGAGGAAGGCGAGGCAAGCAGAGGGACGAAAAGCGCCTAAGAGGAACCGGCTTAATGTGCGCATTCGCGAGGTTTTCCTCGAGAAGCCGGTCCTGCCTCCTACCAACAAGTTTACTACGCGCAACCGGAATATCTACCCGTCGGAAACTCGTGAGAGACATGCCACGTACCGTGGAAAGCTGCGCGCAAAGCTCGAGTACCAGATCAACAATGGGGACTGGATGGAGTCGGTTAGAGAGTTGGGACAGGTTCCGATTATGTTGAGGGTGAGCACAACAGGGCCTCAGAATTGCGATTCGACATGACAATAGCGACTAACTATTGCAAAGACCAACAGATGTCACCTGGAAAAGGCAACCCCCGAACAACTCGTCCAGCACAAGGAAGAATCGGAAGAACTGGGTGGTTACTTCATCGTCAACGGTAACGAAAAACTCATTCGAATGTTGGTTGTTGGAAAGCGGAATTACCCCATGTCAATTATTCGTGGTTCGTTTGTCAAGCGTGGAAACTCGTACACCAAGTACGGTGTGCAAATTCGATCTGTCCGGCCGGACCAAACATCGCAGACGAACGTGCTTCACTACCTCAGTGACGGTAATGTGACCTTCCGTTTCTCGTGGCGCAAGAACGAATATCTCATTCCGGTAATGATGATCCTCAAGGCTTTGGTTGAGACCAACGACCGCGAAATCTTCGAGGGTATTGTCGGTGGCGCTTCGTCCAAGGGTGTCAGCAACACTTTCATTACTGACCGTGTGGAACTTTTGCTGCGGACATACAAGGGTTACAGCATCCATGGCCGTTCATCCTGCCGCGCCTACCTCGGAGAGAAGTTCAAGCCCGTCCTTGGTGTCCCCGCGGACATGTCGAACGAAGACGCCGGTTCCGAGTTCCTGCGCAAGGTTGTCCTGCCGCATCTGGGCAACCAGGATGTCACCGAGACCCAGGACTACGACAAGTTCAAGATGCTCATGTTCATGATCCGGAAGCTCTACGCCCTCGTTGCTGGTGACTGTGCTCCCGATAACCCCGATGCTGTTTCGAACCAGGAAATCCTGCTCGGTGGTTTCTTGTACGGTATGATTTTGAAGGAACGACTAGAGGAATGGGTGAGGTCTCTTGGACCGATCGCACGGGACTATTGTAATCGGAACGGTGGCGCCAAATTTACAGACCCCGAGTTCGAAAGAGACTTTCTACCCAAAATCGTGAAGAGAACCAACGAAAACATCGGAGGTGCTCTCGAATACTTCCTCTCGACAGGTAACCTGGTCAGTCCTACTGGTCTCGACTTACAACAGGCCTCTGGTTACACTGTCATGGCGGAAAAGATCAACTTCTACAGATTCATCAGTCACTTCCGCATGATTCACCGTGGTAGTTTCTTCGCGCAATTGAAGACAACCACCGTCCGGAAACTGCTCCCCGAGAGTTGGGGTTTCTTCTGTCCTGTCCACACGCCCGATGGTGCGCCTTGCGGTCTGCTCAACCATTTGGCACACAAGTGCTTGATCGCTACTAGTAATGTGAACGTCTCGCACATCCCCCGGTTACTGGTGCAGTTGGGCGTGCGTTCGGAATCTTCAGCCGCCATCGACGAGAGCGTGACGGTACAACTGGACGGCCGAATCATCGGCTATTGCTCTCCTAAGCAAGCCCGCGTGGTCCACGATACCCTTCGCCACTGGAAGGTAACAGGCATGCACAAGGTACCCCGCGAGCTCGAAATCGGCTACGTCCCCAATATGAACGGCGGCCAGTACCCGGGTATCTACATGTTCTCGCAAGCCGCCAGAATGTACCGTCCCGTGAAGCACCTGGGCTCCGACAATCTCGACTACGTGGGCCCTTTCGAGCAGCCCTTCATGGAGATCGCATGCATGCCTTCCGACCTCATCCCAGGCGTCTCCTCGCACATCGAATTCACACCCACAAACATCCTCTCCATCGTCGCCAACATGACCCCCTTCTCCGACTACAACCAGTCCCCGCGTAACATGTACCAGTGCCAGATGAGCAAGCAGACCATGGGTACACCGGGTACGGCCATCGACTACCGCACAGACAACAAGCTCTACCGTCTGCAGACGGGTCAAACGCCCATCGTCCGCCCACCCCTCTACAACGCCTACGGTCTCGACAACTTCCCCAACGGTACCAACGCCGTCGTCGCCATTCTCTCGTACACAGGTTACGACATGGACGACGCCATGATCATCAACAAATCCTCGCATGAGCGCGGCTTCGGTCACGGAACTATCTACAAGACCAAGATCCACAACCTCGACGAGAAGGACTCGCGACGCAGCAAGTCCAAGCGTGAAGTCACCAAGCTCTTCGGTTTCGCACCGGGTGGTGAAATCCGCGCTGAATGGCGCGCAACCCTCGACGAAGACGGTCTCCCGCACATTGGTACCCGCGTACGTGAGGGGTCCCTCATCGCCGCATGGCACACTGTGCGCTACGACGCTGCGTCCGACTCGTACATCAACGTCGACGGCCTCACGCATTTCATGAAGTACAAGGATGCGGAAGAGGGATACATCGATAGTATCCGGATCATGGGTGCGGAGACGGGTGCAGAACCGTGCCAGGCACTGAGCGTCAAGTACCGTGTCCCGCGTAAGCCGGTTATCGGTGACAAATTCTCGTCTCGTCACGGACAGAAGGGTGTTTGCTCGCAGCTGTGGCCTGCTGTCGACATGCCGTTCTCTGAGAGCGGTATCCAGCCTGATCTCATTATTAACCCTCACGCTTTTCCTTCTCGTAAGTCCCCTCCCCTACTTACCACTGTAAAAGAAAGCTTCTTCTGACAAGGTGCTGCAGGTATGACAATCGCCCAAATGATCGAATCCATGGCCGGCAAAGCCGGCGCTCTCCACGGCCACCCACAAGACAGCACGCCCTTCCAATTCAGTGAATCCAACACAGCCACCGACTTCTTCGGCCACCAACTCCGCAAAGCCGGCTACAACTACCACGGAAACGAGCCGCTCTACTCCGGCATCACAGGCAAAGAGTTCGCCGCCGATATCTTCATCGGTGTCGTGCACTACCAGCGTCTACGCCACATGGTTAATGATAAATTCCAGGTCCGCACGACGGGTCCTGTGAACTCGTTGACGGGGCAGCCTGTTAAGGGAAGAGCGAAGGGTGGTGGTATCCGTGTTGGTGAGATGGAGAGGGATTCATTGATTGCGCACGGTGCGGCGTTTATTTTGCAGGATCGGTTGATGAATTGTTCGGATTCGACGAGGGCGTGGATTTGTAGGTGTTGTGGGAGTTTCTTGTCGACGCAGGTTGCTGTGCCGTCGGTTGGGGGGAGTAAGGCTAGGATTGCGGCGGCGAAGGCGCAGTCTTCTACGGCTGCGGCTAATAATGCGGCGAATGCTGCTGCTACGTCGGCACTTGGGGGGGCTGCTGGGATTGTGCGTTGTCGTCGGTGCGCGAGGGAGGCCGTGTTTGAGGACTCCCGTGCGGAGGTTTGGGAGGATGGTGATGGGAGACGGTATGTCGGGGGTGATGATGTTACTGTTGTTGCTGTGCCGGGTGTTTTGCGGTACCTGGATGTTGAGTTGGCAGCTATGGGTATCCGCATGAAGTTCAAGATTGACAATTGATGTTGTGAAAAAAGCATGTTTATAGATCTGGTTGTATGTAATTATGTTTTGGAGTTGTTATTTAGCATCATGTTTAGTTTTGAATTCGTTCTTATTCATCTATCATTCATGAATAAAAACTTGAAGCAACTAAAAAGCATCATGTCCATGATTAAATTAAAAGATCACCCAGGCTAACCTACAACTCTGACGTGACGTTGGAGAACTCGCCCTTCTCCAACTTCGTCTTCCAGAAGATAGGGTTCATATCGTCGAATCCGTGGTGGACCCAGCCTTCTTCTTTGACATGGTACAGGTTAATGTAGCCACCAGAGAAGGCGTCACGGTGTGTCGCGGCAAGGATACTTCTCCGTCCAAGCTCGAGAGCCTCCTCCTCGGTCAATTCGTAGCGGTATTCGGCGTCGAGCACACCGTAAGCGAAAGTCTGACCGGATCCGACACAGAACAGGTTACCGGGAAGTCGTGTGCCATCGGAGTCGATGTAGTAGAGAGCGGGTCCTTCTTGGGGAGTCATCTGCAGGAGTTAGCCAGAACCTCATTACAGAACAAAGGTAACGTACACCCGCCAACATAGTTCCCATGCTTAGACCATAACCCTTGTAGGCGTATGTCAAATTGGCCAGAATCTTCGAAGCAGCTGCAACTGTGATACGGCGCTTGTGTCTGATTTCTGTTCCCAGTTAGCCCCCGCATCAACCCAAGCCAACGCCATACGTACCGTGAAGTGTGCACTGCTGACTCAAATATCTCAACCAGTATTGACAATCCTACTACTCATCAGCATCCATCCACAATTTAGAAAGTATTCGTCAAGAGAACATACAGCAGCACCACCGGCCATCGTACCCAATAAACCAGGTGTCGGCTTGTCCGTCGGCTTGTCCTCACCACGACTCAACCGCGAAACGGGAATAACCTTCTTCACCGTCTGACTAGCAATCCAGTCACCAGCGGACGCTCTCGAATCGGTTGCAACGATCTATCATAGCTTCATTAGCGAAGCCAGCCGAGAGTTATTGGAAGGAAACGTACAATTCCGCCTTGGAATCGGAAGGCTAGCGTCGTCGTTCCGTGGGCAAGCTTAATCGGACAGTTTGGGTTCGAGTGGTCATCGGTCATCGCACGGAGGAAGCCGGAGGGCTATAGTGGATACAAACACGCTCGTTAGCTATCATTCCCGTAATTCCCTCTCTGCAGTAGGCGGCCGCCGTCCAGATCAAAGACCAAGTGGCACAATCGCCATCCACAGCAAAACAAACTCCGATAGCAACCATAACACCAGTAGCCACAAACTCACGTTATCGAGAGGAGGAAGTTTGAAGTTCAGAGAGATCGGGGGAAGAGTCTCTGTGAGTTCCTGCTCTTGCTCCGAATAGAACTCATTCTGCGGCGACCGCGTGTACTGTGAGACGATCTTATCCATGGTGTGCTCTGCGATGAAAGAGTTCAATATCAAAGAGATGTAGGAAAAGACGCGGGAGGAAGACGTTGACGGGGGAGGGCGATGGTCGAGTGAAGCTCTGATATGGAGCTGTGGTGACGATGAGCTCACCTCTTGGCGTCACGTGTCTTCCACCGGAATTCTATATTGGAACTTGGTTTCACCATGAAATATCAATCCATTAAAATCTTAACACTATTACTATATTATTGGGAATTACTATTGTCGTTGCCCATTCCAACGCGCCTATTTCCCTAGCGCCGGCCTTCCATTCCTGCCCAACGATGTAACTACAAACTGACAGAACAGAACTCCGAACGAAACAAACAAAATCAGTCAATCATAAACCATCCGAGTCTCATCGTGAGTTATCGGTTAATAGGGAACAGCCACTGGCTGCTGAGTGTCAATGGCGCCAGAAGCGTGCGGAACACTCGGCTTCTCAAAACCATTGACAGCCTTGACTGACTCCGCGCCATCAGAACCGTCAGCGACGCCGTTGGCACTCTCAGCTCTGCCGGGGTTTGTAGGCAGGAGGTTGGCCGAGGTCTCGCCGGCCGAAGTGTGAACGGGTTCGTCCGTTCTCTCCCACGTACGCAGGTTGTTCTCGGCTTCCTCGAGGACTTGCTTGGTGTCGTCGGTGTGTTCGTACGCAGCGCGCTGGTCACCGGGGACAACGGGGCTATCATCGAGGTAGTTGAGCAGACGCTTAGCATGGCGGGCTAGGAGAATCTGCTTCTCTCCTTTTTCGATGACGGCGGCCAAGTGGATGTCATACGCTTCTTTCATTTTTTGCCGAGTCTATCATGTTAGCTTTGTTTTCCGACTTTGACGGAGGAAAGACATACCACGTTGGTCAACTGCGCCTCCGCAACCAGATTATGCGCCTCAGCCCTAACCAACTCCTGCTCCAGCGTCTCCAACCTCGCACTCGTGGGATCCCTCAACTTCAACTTCTGAATCTCATCCGCCACCTTGGCCCGACCCTCCCTCGTCGGCTGCACACTCGCCTCAATATTCCTAATCTGCTTCAACAACGCCCGATGATCCTCCATATTCTGCGCATACACATCCTCCTGCTCGCCCAGCTCCGCCAGCAACACACCCAGCTTATCTGAGATGTCCGAGACGGCGTCGTCCTCAGTTGATTCGCCCCATTCGGAGAGCTGGGAGGCGACAGAGATGCGCTCGCGGCCGGCGACTTCGTAGGCGCCGATGACGTCGCCTTCGGTTTTGATGAGGCGGCCCATTTTACGGCTCATTTCGGGTTGTTGGAGGCCTTGGAAGGCGCCCATGCCGAATTTGAGACGGCCGCCGCCGGGGTCGCGTTTTGTACGGATGGAGAGGGAGGAGCGGTGCCTGGATCGTTAGTTTCGTGGTCTAGTGGCTGTAGAAGAGCACGTACATTTTGCGTGGTATGGTATATCAAGAGGATTCGATTGGATTCGATGTAAGACTGGGTCGTAAGCTCGAGCTGACAACAGTCAACCCCTCAATGCAACTTCCTAACAACGTAACGGCTAACGGTATCAGTATTCACCTCTGTCAGTCTTGAGCAAGGTACTTTAAAAGAGAGGGGAAAGTGAAGATGTAGTCAGAGGAAAGAGCCAAGTTATGGAAGGAAGGGAAAGAGGCGCTGGATGCTTGCGCTTCATGACGTCATGCGGGAGAGGCGGAAGCTGAAGTCATTACGAATATTTGTATGGTTCATTGCCATTTTATGCTTCTCGAGAATGTCATTCTTGGCATGAATTGTCTGTATAATGTGGGTGGTGATGTAGAGATCTATGGATATACAACCCTATCTATCTCGAGTCATACAGGGGTATGGGTCAACATCTCGCGGGAATATAAATGACTTCCTCGCTCTCCCTTCTCAGTGGTAATTGCGGGTAACGAATTGGAATCAATCTCTCCTCTTCTGTCCTGACTCTCGTTCTGGTCACGGTTGTATAAGACGAAGAGGATGGCCGCGGTGGTGGTCGTGAGCAGGAATATGAAGATGAAGGTCGGGAATAGATAACCACTCTAGTCCTACTGCTCTCGTCATCAGATTCATCTTCTGAGCTGCTAGAGCTACTGCTGCTGCTTGAGCGATAATGACCGCTGCGGTGGTGATGACCACTATGGTGATGATGATAGCGGTGCTGGTGATGATGATGGTGGTGAGTATGGCAACGACATCGGCACCGATGAGCAGGAGGACACGAGGCGCGAAGAGGTCGACGTGGAGGGGATTCCACGATCCGCGACGAGGGGAGGTCGTTGTCGACTTCGAGGAAGCACATCTTCATTGTATTGGATTGAGTTGTAGAAGATAGGGCGTTGGTGGTAGGGCCGGAGAACATGGGAACTGCATATGAGGAGGCATCTTGACGGCACTCAAATATGCATTTATACAGGAGTATACGAAAGAAGGATCAGGCATCTCTCAGATGAGAATGTCAGGGCTGCTGGTCATTCTTCGGAGATAGCCTTGTGACAGCGGGTCATGTGCATCTACACACCAACACTAGCTCTACACGGTTGGTACATGCAGACAGAGCGGTCAGCCTATTCAAATTACTACCGTAAATCCATCCTCTTTTTGTCCCGGGCGACATGAATACAATCAAATGTAACACTACCAGCGCCCCGACATGACATACCAACACCTAGTTATAAACATTCATTAAATTAAAGCAGCAAAAGTACATCACGACATATCATCCGTATCGTGATGGTGGTGAGTTATCTCGTGATCCGACGCGTGGAATGCGTCCCCAAACGCAGACGTCTCCAGATCTGGAAGATCCAACCCCTCGTTTTGTTCCGTATACGCAGCCAAAGCGTCGCCTGCGCTGTCCATGTTGGTAAAGTCGAAGTTGCTCGTGTCAAGTCCTGTATCGCCGACGTGTCCTGTTTGTCCGGGGATCAAGCCCTGACCTGTGCCGACCGTCGCGGCTCCCTGATTTTGCTTCGCTTCGCTATTGACCATCACCCAGTCACCGGTTTCACCTGTGGCTGTATTCACCGGCCGACCATCGCCCAAGTTCATCTCGACGTCCTGACCTGGTTGTGGCTGTGGCTGCTGATTGTTAGGAGAGCCGAATTGGTCAAGCAAGTGGCTGTCGGCATGCTCCATGACGATATCACCCATTGCAGTATCCGGTTTGGGTTCTGGTTCGATCTTCTCGAGCAATCCACCTTTTTGCACACACGAGATCTTAGGTTCCGGCATGATCTGCTTCTGGTATGAACCTTCCACCTCCCGGATGATATCGTCGACCTTGTATTTGGGCTTCTCCTGTATGACCGGCTCCACCGGTGTGCCGTCCTCTTCGGTGGGAATTTCGATCCGACCCTCCAATCGCCAGTTTTCCGACCCGGTGTCAGTCGGATCGGTTGCTGCCTCTCGCAGCCGAAGCTCCGCATCCTTGAACAAGGACGTACGGTTGAAGCGCTCCATACGCTTCGCATGACGCTTCTTTAGTTTCTCAATCTCGGCAGTCATGTCTGCCACTTTCTTGGCCACGCGATCTGCGAACTCCTCCGCTTTGGCAGGTTCCATCTTGGCTGCAGCGGAATCCGGCGCATCCTTGGATTCCTTATCTTCCCCATTGGCACTGGGCCCCACGGGAGCATCAAAGAAGCCAGTTGTCAGTGACTCCAGTTCGCCCTTCCGACCCAATCCCAGCGACACGGGGGTAATCTGGTTGATTGCATAGGGCGAAGCAAAGATCTCTTCCATCCATTCATGGTGTTGCTGATACCGCATTTTGCTGACTTCGCGGGGGGTCAACAAGTCCATCATATCTCCCGCAGAAACATCCTCATCTTCGAGCGCAAAGTCGGCTGTCGCGGCGTTCATGGCAGCCGAAGGAGCCCGATGACCGCGAGGCGCCTTAACCGGAGCGGCCCCGGCCGGACCAGCAAGGACCTGTCCTGGCTGGGCGTATAACGGCGGACGGCCCGGCATGGCAGCGGCATAGGGTCCCGCAGGGTGCGCAAAGCCCTGTGGGGCCATCTGCGGTGGGAGGTTGATGCTTGGCCAGTTGTTGCGATCATGCAACATAAAATCTTTGCGGGCTAGCTGCCCCTGGCTCTGAAGGAATCGTCGCTGGGCCAGCATGCTCTGGACTTGAGGTGCGATCGGGATGCGGTTCGCGTGGATATGATCCGTCGGAGGGGCTCTTGAATAGTGGACAATCCAGAGGGACGGGTCCGCGGGAGGCAGGTTCGGGTTGGGCACTTTAGAGGGTAACAATCGGTAGCGTCTGCGACAATGAATCGCAGCGGGTTCGTTGGGAGGGTGGTAGCCGCTGCGGTGCAGCCACATTTCGACGGTCTAGTAGCAGTCCTCCGTTAGCATGGTGAATAACAGTAGCAACATAGCTGGTAAGCATACATAACCGCGAGCTTCAAAGCTAAAGGCCTGTTCGACATCAGCCCAGACATAACCATCGCTGGCAAAGTTGGTTCCGAGGAAGTTCAGTGGCTGCCAGGTGAGCATCACAGTGCCATCCTGAGGTCCGTCGAGAAAAGTCCAGTGCATCGGCTGCACTTCGCGGACGACCTTGGGCGCGGTGAGTAAGTATTCGACTACGGTGTCTGTAGGTAACATGTGCATCAGGGGGTAGCGATATCGCGACACCAGATGCATATGCGGCAGCTATAAACAAGCAGTCAGCCTTCATCCATAGTCCAGGGAGGTACAGCGCTCACTTACCAGCTGCGCCGGGACACGACTCGCTGGATCGTCCATGATGAACCAGACCCTCAGTCAATGTGGATTAGAATGGATTGGAACGATCGCAAGAGACTGAGAGGTAAAAGACCGGAGATACAGTTCCAATTGAAAGTTTGGGAGATAGCGACAGTAACGACTAACGAATGTATGGCCCTGTGCCTCTGACCGGGAGGAACGCGACGCGGATTTTTGGTATTCCAGCGCCGAGTCGGGCAGGTGATTGAGACCAAAAACGCAGCACGTGATCAAGTCGCAACTCAGGCATTAAGGCAACAACTGGGGTTCAATAATATTGATCCCCAGCCACGGACAATTGAAAATGTTACATATAATATGCAAGCATTCAATAATGTGAAGCCTGTCTGTACTACAAATACGGAATATGTTCGGTAAAAGCGAATGGGAACACCCGAAAGTGAGCTCATCGGCGCTCCGGCACTGCTGATCAGTGATTTTATGGGGAATTAACCCAGCAATAATAATGAATCGCATCCTCAGCTGAGGGGATGCAAATGTTGCATTTTAAACACAAAAATGTACAGAGTACCAGGCGTGGTTACAATGAAGGAACAGAATAAATGTCATTGATCAGCCTTATACTAGTCGGAATCGTATTGATCACTCGCAGTTCAGCCCCCGGAAGATTCAATAGAAACTCAGCGTTACTCCAGAATAAAGCCTGTCCAAGCTATGAAATGCAGATCCCAGCTAAATTTCGACGTATAAAGCTTGACTGCTCCCCGGAATCTGCAACATGTCTCCAATTTATTCTCAATCGCAATTGCGACTCTCACTACTACTTTTACTAACTAATAATCAATCAACATGGGCTTCTTCGGCAAAGAAGATCCCCCTGAAGACATTATCGAACAAGCCCCGACCAACGATACCGAGAAACAGCTACCGTCACATCATTCCGATGAGAATGACACGGCGTTACCTCCGACTCCGGTCGTGCACATCGATCTGGCAGTGGAAAAGCGCATGTTGAGAAAACTGGATTGTCGACTTCCGTTACTCTTGGGGTTTTTGTGTATGTGGTCAAATCATATGAAGAAAAATCAATGTTACTGACTCCTTCCAGATCTGTTAGCTTCGCTGGATCGGAGCAATATCGGAAATGCCAAAATCGCGGGCATGGAGGATGACCTCCATCTCTCAAGTGATGACTATTCATGGCTCCTAACTATCTTCTATATCTCCTACACCGTGTTCGAGTTCCTAGGAATCATGTGGAAGATCGTTCCGCCTCATATATGGGCCGCCGTGGCTGTTTTTGGATGGTAAGCTCCCACTCATAGGGAACGTGAACGATTCAAGCTAACACGAATAGGGGCGTCATGGCCGTCTGTCAAGCAGCGACGCAAAACTGGCAGGGTATGATGGCCTTACGTTTCCTCCTGGGACTCTTCGAGGCGGCCTTTGGCCCCGGAGTCCCCTACCTGATGTCGTTCTTCTATCGTCGGAATGAACTGGGACTGCGGTGTGGATTGTACGCATCTGCTGCTCCGTTGGCTAGCACGTTCGCCGGTGCACTCGCATATGGAATCACGTCCGGGCATCCCCTGTTGACTAGCTGGCGGTTGCTTTTCCTTGTCGAGGGTGTTCCTACACTCATTGGTGCGGTGCTTGCCTGGTTCTACTTACCCGATGGTCCAGCTTCTGCGAATTTCCTGACAGCAGAGGAGAAAGAGGTCGCATGCATCAGGAGCTTGCGCCGCGGGGGTGAAGTGGATCGCGTGGACGGGATCGACTGGAAGGACCTGGGGATGACTTTGCTGGACGCGAAACCGTGGCTCACTGCCGTACGTCCCTCTTCGCTTCCCTATTATTATGGTTGCGCTAACAAGACCAGTTCATGTACTTCAGCTGCAATGTCAGCTTCTCCTCCCTCCCCGTCTTCCTCCCCACTATCCTTCAAGACATGGGCTTCACCTCCATCCACGCCCAAGGCCTCACCGCACCTCCATATTTCCTCGCTTTCCTCGTGACGATTCTCAGCACCTGGCTAGCAGATAAATTTCAGCAGCGGGGCCTCATGATCATATTCCTATCGGTAATTGGCGCAGTCGGCTACGTTCTCCTCGCAACCTGCACCGCTGTGGGTGTCCGCTATCTGGGCGTTTTCCTCGCCGCTGCGGGTGTTTTCCCCTGCATCGGTAACATCCTCCCCTGGGTCCTTAATAACCAAGGCTCCGACAGCCGTCGCGGAATGGGCATCGTCCTCCTTAATCTCATCGGACAATGCGGACCATTCCTAGGCACGAATATCTTCCCATCTAGCGAAGGGCCACGCTATATCAAAGGACAATGGATCTGCGCGGCATTCATGTTCTTCACAACATTTTTGGCACTGAGTCTGCGGTGTTTGCTAGCTTGGGAGAACTGGAGATTGAATAAGAAGTATGGGACAAGGGAGGAGAGGGAAAGTAGCGAGAAAGGGGTTATTGCGGAGGAAAATTATGGAGCAGATTTTCGGTTTGTTCTATGATATGAGCATGTGTAGGATTTATGATTAATGATGGATGGTATATATGGTTTCGTTTTTATATATTGTTAGTGGTATGTTTATAGCTTATTATGTAGTAATCTAATGTCTATGACGAGACCCCGCTTTCGCTTCAACTTTCATATCTGACAAATATATCTGTGCATTCCTGCTTCAACATCATTACTATAATGAACATGGCCTCAGATCCTTCTTTCCTCCACGCCGTAGTGGACATGGGAAGGTAGTCCCCTCTATATCTCCACAACCCCTACGATACTCACTTTACAGCAGCAACGGCATCCGCTTCTCAATAACCAACGCCAACTCCCACCAACTCCCAACCATCTACCACTCCCGCGCTGGAATCTCCCTCTACGACGCTCAATTCTCATCCCCCAACAACACGCGCCGCCCCATCCCCGGCAATATAATCCAAGACGTCCTCACCCGCCTCGTCCACTTCCAGACTGTCTGCGAGGACTTCGATGTACCGCCAGAGAATGTACATGTGCTAGCGACGGAGGCTACGCGCACGGCGCCAAATTCTGAGGCATTCAGGGCGCAGATTCGAGAACGAACGGGGTGGGAGGTAAGGATGCTCAAGAAGGAGGAGGAAGGGAGGATTGGGGCGATGGGGGTTGTTGCAAGTTGTGGGAAGCCGGCTGGTGGGTTGGTTATGGATTTGGGGGGTGGGAGTACGCAAATCACTTGGATTATGACTGACAGGGATGGGGAAGTTAGGATGAGTCCGCACGGTTCGTTTAGTTTCCCCTACGGTGCAGCGGCGTTGAAGAATAGGTTGGAGCAGGTTGAGGGAGATAAGAAGGGAAGGGAGGTGTTGAAGGGTGAGATGGTGAGGGATTTCCAGCACGCATATCGAGATTTGGATGTACCAGAGGGGCTTTTACAGATGGCGAAGGAGCGCGGTGGGCTTGATTTGTATCTTTGTGGTGGTGGGTTTCGCGGTTGGGGGTATTTGCTCATGGAGCAGGCCTCTGTGAATCCGTATCCGATTCCTATCATTAATGGATTCCGGGTTCGCAAGAAAGTGTTTCATGATACAACGTCGGTGCTAGGGACAGTGGATGCGGATACCAAGATATTTGGCGTGTCGAAGCGACGAGCATCGCAGGTCCCGGCTGTGGCCTTCCTGGTCAATGTGCTCGTCGATGCACTGCCGGACATCCAGAACATCCAATTCTGCCAAGGAGGCGTGCGTGAGGGCTTTTTGTTTGATCGACTGCCTGTGGAGATCCGTGCTGAGGATCCCCTCTTAGTAGCGACGAGGCCCTATGCGACGGCGTCAGCAGACGTCTTTCAGCGTCTCTTGTCATCAGTCTTGCCATCTACCCCACCACCAGAGGGGTTGACGCAAGTGCCTCCCTCTTTTTCCCCTCATCTGCTCTTTGCATTGGCTAATCTACTCTTCGCCCATGTCACCATCCCCAAAGAGTCCCGGTGTGCAACTGCCCTACATAGCACCACCACAGGCCTCCTAGCATCCACCAACAGCCTTACCCATACTGACCGGGCCTTACTTGCCCTCATACTGTGCGAGCGCTGGGATGGAGAACTGGCTCCGACCGATCAATCACTTTACACACGACTGAGCCGGTGTGTGTCCGCAGGGGAAGTTTGGTGGTGTCGATACTTGGGACGGGTAGCCGCTCTGATTGGCGATGTGCATCCAGCGGGTAAAGTCTCTGGAAATGAGACCCAGTGGAGGATCCAATTTGACTCGCAGTGGGACGAGTTGACCAAAGAGAAGAAAGGCGAGAGGCAGACTGTGCTCCGGTTGCGGGTGAGGTGGAACGGGGACGTCATGCGGGATAGCTCGTACAGTCTGGATGAACACACCGGGAAGATCGAAAAGGTCGGAAAGCAAAAGCATTGGGTTGAGGGGAGCGGCTTAAAGGTCCAGGTGGAGGTTTGAGTGTGCCATAGATGTCAATTGAGGCCTTTTGAAGCCAATTGAAACGATTCTAATCCAAGAATGAAGCAATCGTGAGTCACGGGACCGGGATCACGACCGGATTCTGTCACTTGCCTGATTGGGAATAGCGGCTGTACATATAACCCCTCTTCTCTCCTCCTTTGTCTCTTCTCTTTTTCACATTCCCAAGTAAACAATTACTATCCATACGCAGTTATATCACCAACAAGTTCTCCTCTCTCATTCTATCCTCATGGAACTTACTAACCATATATAGGACTAAATGTATATGGCCCCGTCCATTATGGAAGCCATGGTCTCGCTTTGGCTGGGATGATTATCATCAAAATGATCAAGGTATCTCAGGTAACGTCTGGGCATGAGCCGGTGTTCGTTCCTATTCTTGTTGTTCCGGGCTATATCGTGGATATCCTATTTTGGATGTACTACAGCATAGTGCGGACAGCAAGGCTGGGTTCGTTCTGAGATTATACGGCTAAAACTTGATCTGGATAATACCAGCGAAAGGAATCATGCTTTCCCTTATTCCCCTCTTTGATGGAATGGCTAACCGGGTATAGTCACGATCGACTTGATCATTACCAGCAACACCAGCAACAGCATCCAAAATGACTCCTCCCGCTGCTCTTTTCGACACTGTCGCCCCTATCACCACCATCAAGGGTAAGGTGGTTGCCCCCGATGTGACCAAAACCACTTTGACCGGTGGTGAGTCTCAGACCAAGCTCTTAGACCAGTTTGGCGGCAAGTGGGATGAGTTCAAGTTCGCCCCCATCCGTGAGAGCCAGGTCTCGCGGGCTATGACTCGCCGCTACTTCCAGGACCTCGACAAGTACGCTGAGACTGATATTCTCATCGTCGGTGCTGGTTCTTGCGGTCTGAGCACTGCCTATGTTTTGGCCAAAGCTCGTCCGGACTTGAAAATTGCCATTGTCGAGGCTTCGGTCTCTCCTGGTTAGTTTTGTTCTGCCTATTGAGTGTCGTCTTCTGCTAACTCCAACAGGTGGTGGTGCTTGGCTGGGAGGCCAGCTCTTCTCCGCCATGGTCATGCGTCGTCCTGCCAACATTTTCTTGGAGGAGTTGGGCGTGCCCTATGAGACCGACCCCGAGAACCCCAACTACGTCGTCGTCAAGCACGCTTCGTTGTTCACCTCGACACTACTGTCTAAGGTTCTGTCCTTCCCCAACGTCAAGCTCTTCAACGCCACCAGCGTTGAGGACTTGATCACCCGCCCGGCCGCCAGCGGCAACCCCAAGGAGACCCGCATCGCCGGTGCTGTTACCAACTGGACTCTGGTCACCTTGCATCACGACGATCACTCCTGCATGGACCCCAACACCATCAACGCCCCTGTCATCATCAGTACCACTGGCCACGACGGACCCTTTGGTGCTTTCTGCGCCAAGCGTCTGGTGTCCATGAACAGTGTCGACAAGTTGGGCGGCATGCGCGGTCTGGACATGAACTCGGCCGAGGATGCTATCGTTAAGAACACTCGTGAGGTTGCCAAGGGTCTCATCATTGGCGGTATGGAGCTGTCTGAGATTGACGGCTTCAACCGTATGGGCCCTACCTTTGGCGCCATGGTTCTTAGTGGTGTGAAGGCTGCTGAGGAGGCTCTGTCTATCTTTGACGAGCGCCAGCGTGAGTGTGCCGAGTAAGCACACCTTCATAATGTGATAGTATCATCATGATAGCAGCCTGCCAATCAATTGAATTATTTTGACTGCATGAAGACATTCAGTAAACCATTCCCGTATTTATTAGTTATTATTTGACCTATACAATAAGTGCAATAGTATTATGGTCCAGCCTGTACAGTTACACCCCCTTGGATTGTTCAACAATTCTCTTCGCGTTCCGAACCTCCCACTCAAACTCCTTGAGCGCCCGCAACTCACTCGATACAAACAACCCTCCAATCAAGCCATCCAGAATACCCGCCCCGAAGCTCAGCGTACTAACCAGGATCAATATAAACGCCACATACGACAGGCCACCAGTCCACCATACTCCAACAAAACAGCCAATCGATACAATCACGGAAAGAATGAAATGTGCCATTCGCCAACGTCGCTGCGAACGTTCCCGAAGATTGTACTTGTGGATCATCTCGAGGATGCGGTCGTAGGTGTCCGGTGCCAAAACGGCGTTGGGGGAGTGTGTACGGTGCTTCTGCTCCTGCTCCTGTGTGGATTCACTGTTCGATGAATCTGGCCTGCGGCGGGTCACGACAGCTTCCACAGCGAAATGGTCACTCAGCGAACAGCGCAGTGTCGGATGACGCTCTGTCATGGCAATCCTCGTAGACTCGATAGCCCATTTCGGTTCCGGAAATGAAGGTGGATATCCCCCATCACCAACAAAGATGTAATCCAGCCGTTTTCCACGGGGGCAAGGCGCATCCTTATCAACACCGATATTCTCCCCTTTATCCAACCGTTTTTGGTCCGCCTTCGACCAGCGCCACGTATTATACTTTCCATCACAAGTAGCCCCGTTCTCAAGCAGATTGAATTCAGCTGTAGGTATAGGTTTCCCTCGTTTCTTCTCAACCGGATCCACCGCCGCAGCAACCGACGACTCCGGATGTAAAACCTGCCACACATCCTGCACTGGCGCATGCGCACGAATCAACATATGCGCAAAAGAACTCGGCACCATATTAAAATCCCCCAATCCAATAACCAAATGCCCGCGCTCCGCCGCACCCCGCATCAACTTCGCAATCTCCCACGCCTGCGCAGTCCGATGACAGATATACGAATCGTGCGGCTCCTTCTCATACGGCGCGTGCAAATGCGTACAAAACACCTCTGCCACATCACTGACCCCCTCCCCAAACCGAACCCGTGCGCAAGCAACACCCTTCCCGACGTACCAATCTCCGCGAAAGAACGCTGTTGGCCGACCGTTGAGCGGGTATCCGTACATGCTACTTTCTTCGATGGGCCATTTGGAGAGGATGGCGAGACCGGCACCAAAGATGCCACCGTAGTAAAATTTCCCATAGGGAAGGATGTGTCGGGTTTGGTGGTGAATAGATTCGTAGTCTTGTTGCGTCCAACATTCTTGTAGGCCGACGATTTCGGGGGGCGGGTTGGAGGTGGCTAGTTGGTGGCCGATTTGGGAGAGGCGGGCGTGGCGGTGTGTGGCGAGGTATTTGAGGCCCCAGCAGTTGAGGGTGAGGATGCGGATGGAGGGAGTTTCCCCAGCGGAGGAGTCAGTAGACATTGCCATTAAGTCCTATGATTGAGAGATTGAGTTGATATGCTTGTAGACAAATCGCGAGTAGCTATGTCGGGGTCACCGCCTTCCCCATACAACACCCGCGATTGGCCCGGCTTTTTACAGACAAGATCAATTGCAGTAATTCCTCCTTTCGCTTCCTTCAATACAGGCTTTATTATTTCTCGTCTGCAGAATCCCGGTGCGTTCGCGCGCAAATGGACAACTCCTCTAAACGCCGCCGACTGGATCCCCCCAGAAACAACACTCGTAATGCCCCTATCGTCCAGTCTCCCGCTGAATCCTCCTCCGACGAACTCGCCGCAGGCTCCGATCACGACGAGGCACGCCGGCGTACCAGCTGGTCCATCCAAAAGGCCTATCCGCCAAAGCGCCCGTATCCGAGGTCGCGCAGCTTCTCCGGCTCAGAAAGCCCGGACGAGTTGGCTGTGGACGCGGAGGAGTACTGGCGGTCGTCGCGCAGGAATCGCGGCCATCGCAGTCCCAGCCCGGTACAAGACTCGGACATGATGTCGGAGCGGTATGAGGATGAGGAGATGGATGAGGAAGCGGAGGACACTGATCAGCAGGATGAGCAGGAGGACGAGGCCGGAGATGCGGAAGATGAAGGCGACGACGGGGAATATTCAGATCGTTCTCCTACACCTGTGCCTCCACCACCTCCTCCGCCTCCGCCTAAGCCGGATAGGCTAAATTATAAAGAGAAGTATTTGCTTCGGGGTCATTTGCGGGGGATTGCTGCTGTGCGCTTTTCTCCGGACGCGTCCATGATTGCTAGTGGTGGTATGCGATTGCTTCCATGCTCTTTCAGATTACGGGTTACAAATGCGGGTTGCTGATGATGATGCAGGAGCCGACGGCGCAATCAAAATCTGGGATACATTATCAGGCAAGCTTGTTCATACATTCGAGGGCCATCTGGCAGGTGTGTCGACCATTGCGTGGAGTCCCGATGGGGCAACCATCGCATCTGGTTCGGACGATAAGACCATCCGCCTGTGGAATGTATCAACAGTAAGTCCTAGGACTGCACATTGGTTCTAACCATAAACTAATAACCATGATCTACAGGGCAAGGCGCATCCCATCCCCTTCATCGGCCATCACAACTACGTCTACCAAATCGCCTTCTCCCCCAAAGGCAACATGCTCGTCAGCGGCTCCTACGACGAAGCCGTATATCTTTGGGATGTTCGCTCCGCCCGAGTCATGAAATCCCTCCCCGCACACTCCGACCCTGTTGGCGGTATCGATGTCGTCTGGGACGGAACCCTAATCGCCTCCTGCGCAACGGACGGATTAATCCGAATCTGGGATACGGCCACGGGGCAATGTCTCCGCACACTCGTCCACGAGGACAATCCTCCTGTCACATCAGTCAAGTTCTCGCCGAATGGCAAGTTCGTGCTAGCGTGGACGCTGGACGATTGCGTGCGGTTGTGGAATTATGTCGAGGGAAGGTGTATCAAGACATACCAGGGACACGCAAATCGAAAATACAGTATTAGTGGTGGATTTGGGAAATACGGGTATGCAGGCATCCCACCAGATGCATTTGCGGTCAGTGGGAGTGAAGACGGGTCGATACTGTGCTGGGACGTGGTGAGCAAGGAGGTCCTCCAGCGGATCGAGGGGCATAACGATGTGGTCCTTGGTGTGGACACGTGCGTGATCAAGAATAAACGACTTCTGGTTAGTTGTGGGTTGGACCGGACGGTTCGCGTCTGGGAGGAGATCGAAAGGTCTCCTGAGGAGGACCAAAACGATGAACAATCAGCTGAGGCAGAGTCCGAGTCCAAAGATAGAGACACAGACATGACAGACACCGTTGAAAACGCAGCGTTGCAACCAAATGGCATCCACCCTCCGAATGGCGATTTCAACACACCAAACGGCGACCTCCCAAACGGTGGCACACAAACTGGAGACGGTGACGGCGACGTGATGATGGAATGAACAATTCCCTTTCTCATTTCTTCTCTTCTAATCCTTTGCATACATATATTTACGGGATGGGCATGTTGTTTATTACATTTCTTTTGCTTTGATTGACATGATCATATTATCATCATCATCATCATCATCATCATCCTCTTCGGTCCGCAAAAATAAAGGATACCCTGGTGTCTGGAGTTGCTTCGTTGATTGATTGACTTATACATTGATTGATTGCTTCATTTGTTGGAGTCACGGGAACTGGGCTGTATACTAATATCTAGAATAATTGCATTATGGTGGGTGATGTCTGTCTGCATGTGTATCGTATCTTTGGGACTTTCATCTTGAGCTCGATGGAATATAGCATTATTTTATGGGGTGTAATGAGTGAAAAGATAGGCTTTGGTTCGTATAGGTCATTTGCAAACAATTCGTATCCTTACTCAAAAAAAAAAAAGAAAGAAAGAAAGAAAGAAAGAAAGAAAATGTAACTCAAATCTCAATCTCATTGCATAAACGAACAAAGGGAAAGGAACCATTACCAGCTAGCTGTTCCAAGTAAAGATTGATAAATTAGCGATTTATTCAAGAAGCCTGATCTAGGACTAGGACAGGTGGGTATGACAAATGAATAATGAGTGGCCCAGCCATGCTCTTATGAAATGCAGCCCTGTTCGGGTACCTGACGCCAAGTCAAGGAGTGGGTAGTGAATGCTTTCCTTTAACATATCGGGATTAGAGGGAGAACATACCTGGCGCCTGCTGGGTTCATTGTTGTAGACGGGGGTATTTGTGATATCCGGTTCAATTTGGTCTGATAGTTCGAATAATGTCGCATCCGTGATAGAAATACATTACCATCATGTCCTGTGCAGCTCTGGTAAATCTGCAATAGAAGAAAACCAAGCCATATCCGGCTCTTGCACAAGACCCGGTGGAAACAATTCCCTTAGCCACGCCGTTCCAGGCACAGAAGTCGTTGAGCTACTTCCAAAGCCCTCATGTCTCAAACTTGCAGAAGCCGGCTGTGTGGTAAATAACCGTCGAGAACCACTCGACTCATCCAGCGGCAAGGACATTGGAAGCGGCACGCCTTCGAGATCGAGGTCCCTGGACGATGCAACGCGATAGAAGAAACTGACAGAAAGATTGAAGCCATTTTTACAGGTGAGATCGTAATTCGCCATGTGGTGGAGCCAGCGGAGAGCTTTTTTGCAGCTGGGGAGTACTATGTCAGTGGGGTGTGGGCATTCTTCTGGTTGTTCTTCGTGGCCATGTTCTGTTCTTATGTGCACGGGGCCTACTGTGAGATGGATGAGGAGGACAGTTGATGCTTGCATGATGAAATATAGCATCGTCCACCATGGTGATACTGTAAAGAACCATTCCTTATCGGGCTCGTCTGGTAGGACGGCAAGGAGTAAAAGTGCGGACCGGACACAGGAGAGTGCTGTATCGTTCCCAAAACGACTCCTAGGAAAATGTATACCACTGTGCTCCGAGAGTCCTGGACGTGAGAGACATGGACGATAGGTAAGGATGCAAGTGCTGTAGAAGTGCAGGGCGAGGCTGGCTTGTTCGCGTGATGAAGGGCCGCAGAGTAGCTCTCCATCATTATCAGAGAAAGCAAATAAATTGTTGATAGTAGATGCCCAATTTTTCAGCTTTTGGGAGTATAGTTTGATTGCGTTTTCTACCTGGTCCCATCCTTCCCGCCGTGCATGGACCCCGTAGATACGACTAGTGATGGTACTGGCGATTAGTGACAGGTCAATCTGATAGGTGAAGTAGAGTGACGGGTTTGATTTGATAGATTGGAGTCGCAGAGTCCGGCTTTTCGTCTGTAACTCAGTTTCGAATAAAGTCCAGTTTGCGATCTTCTCGCGCTCCGATTCATTACTAAGAAAAGAAGATGCGGGACTGACTGAGAACGAGTCTTCAGTGAACGGGATAGGCGCATGTACAGAGAACGATTCACCTAAGCTTGAGGCCCTGCCGGTCATAGTCGTGAGGGAGTGCTCGAGCATGAATATTGAACACCAAAGACGGCACCGTGACTCTTTGGATACTGCGTCAGTCTTGTCATTCACATTGTGCATGTTGATTCCAAGAGCAATTGCTGAGCTCGATGCAATGCGTATCATTTGCCATGCTCTGGAATTTTATTAGAAGAGAACTATTTTCGTGCGAACTAGACTGAATATTTTTCTCGATGAAGTAGTGACTGAAGGGATTTTCCTCACCTGTTGACTTGTGATTGCACCAAGAAATAGAAGGCTAACAAGGCTTCAATTTGTACCTGCTGTAGGTCTGGATGGTCATAGATGATGTTCTCATTTGCACTGAGCATTTTCGCTTTGGAAAAGAATATCTCATCCTCGGATCCATCGGGCACGTCTTTTCCAACAGACGCACAGTGACGAGATGCGATAGCAAGAATCAGGTTCAAGACACAAAGCCACTTCTTCCCCGGTTTGAGGAAGGGTTTTGAGTAATACCGCTCATATTGCACCGTGAAGAGTGATTTCCGAACGATGGGGAAATGGACGTCAACGAAGTTGAAATATGTGTTGTAGTACGCGTCGGCCGTGTGTTTCGGCGGTAGGTCATACGGGTTCAATCGCTCGCATTCAGCCATAGGCCGTTCATTTGTATGGTACGACTCGGAGGCGATGTGATTGTCGCGCGTTGTTCCTGAAACGTTCCTCTTGGCGCTTGTATGACCTGGATGGTTAACTCTCTCAGCTTCAATATCCAAACTCTGTAGCCAAGGTACCTCTGAGCTTTTTTCTACAAACCCGGTTGCTCTATTTTCTTCATTTAAATAGGTGTTTTCGTCGACAACGTCAAGGGCGTCTAGGGACTCTGCTGATGAGACCGAGAAGCTTTCTTTGCGACCATGGTCGGGGGGACGTTTTCTTTTCTTCGCGTCAGGCTATATGCTTGTCAGATAAGAGCTTTTTTCTTTCCTCCAGAGTGACAACAAACTCCTGATACCTGGTCAATATCCTTTACAATACAACCAGCCCTCTCCGCAACCTTCCCCAGCAAAGTGTAATACCGTTCATTCTGGATCTTGAGGTCCTGAAACTCGTCCTTGTCTTTCTCGCGCCGGTTTGGTGGATAATTGCAAGCAACACTCGTGTCCAAGCATTGCTTACAGCTTGTTTTATTACCATCACAACGGATCTTGCGATCGCGGCATGCCTGGCAGGCGCGTCCGACTCGTCGACGAGTTGCTGGCGGCGGTAGGGGACCGGCACGTGGTATGGCCATTCTGTCCATACTGGCGTCAATGAAGGGATCCGGGGGTTTGGGTAGTAGATTCATGAAGATGAAAGATCGTGAAAGAGGGACAGTTGAAGTCAGGGAGGGATGATCTGATAGAAAGTGTGGCAACTAGGGTGGACCGTTATGACATATGTGGTTTGCGTGTTTATCACTTCTGATTGGCGCAAACCCTTCATGGGTATGATATTTTTCAACACCTGTGAAGAAAAGTATAATATAGTGGTAGCAGTAGTGGTGGTGGTAGTAGTGATAGAAGTAGTAGTAGTAGTAGTAGTAGTAGTAGTAGTCGTAGTAGTAGTGGTGGTGGTGGTGGTGGTAGTGTCCCTTGAATTATTGACACCAAGGATGTACTCTAGTATTCTCTTATGTTTTGCGCTTAACCTATCAGTTAGGGTTTACAGAAGCAATGCTCAGACAGGGATGACTTGGGTATCCCGGCTCAAATATGATGCCACTGCTACTCTGTACTGTGCAGTTAGCATGGGGTTGTGGCTAGTAGTTGCCCTGTTCCAGCATCGATGCCAAAGTGTTTGTCCTGTGGTGGATATTTGGCCAAGACTATTAAAGGCTCTAGATCGCCATCACGCCAAGTGTAAACTGGAATTCCGAAAATGGAGGAATCAAGAATTCACTACTAGACGAAATCCACATGGAGGAGTATATTTTAGACGTATGAAGGTGATATATTCTCGCTGTATACAATGGTTAGAGTTCCTTAGTGCTACACTGGTTTATATCATCGGACCGGTGGAACTTGCTTAATCGGTTCGACGCTATTCCTTGTTATGGTGAACAGTTCTGGCCATACACCGCCTACTAAATACACGTGACATCACGTGATATCTCATCCGCCACTCTAACGGCGCGTCTCGCAGATCATTTTCTCCTCCTCAAACCATCTGCCTGATTTGAAAGAGAAAGAGGTTGGATCATGACACTACTTTTAGCCCAGTATGGGCTCACAGCTGGATGCAAACTCCAGCGCTGTGCGCAAACGGATAGAAAAACGTATGCTCCCAACTTCTATGTTCAGTGGGTTCGCATACTAACAATGGCCATAGACAGCTTCGATGACGATGAGGGTGAGGAATATGAGGCATCCAGCTTTGGTGGCTTTGCCGATTATATGAGGCGCAAGAAAATTAAACTGCAAAACCTAGATGCAGAGATACGCGCTTCATCCGCGGACAATCCCCCCATTTTCCGGGGTGTGGTTGCACATGTTAACGGTTACACGCAGCCATCCTTACAGGATCTCCATCGTCTCATAGTGAGCCATGGAGGCGGCTTTGTTCAGTACCTTGAGTCCAAGACTGTAGCGACGCACATCATTGCCAGCTTGCTGACTCCGAAGAAGCGAGAGGAGTTTCGCAGATATCGCATTGTCAAGCCAGCTTGGGTGGTTGAGAGTGTCAAAGCAGGGCGGATGCTTCCCTGGGAAGACTTCAGTGTAGTGGACGAGGGTCAAAGTCAGAAGGTGCTCAAGTTCAATAGCGGACGTCTACTTAGCCAGACGAATAGTTCTCGAACAGGGTACAAGGACCAAACTAGCTCGAGCTGGTACACGTCGCAACTGAAATCCTCGGTCCATCTAACGGATGTAACCCCTCAGCCCGCGCTGCCGGAGATTGCCGGTAACTCCGACGAGATTTTAAACACAACAACTCAGTCTGATTATGGCGAATTTCCGAGTTTTAGTACTCTTGATGAACTTCAAAAGCAGCCATCAGATGATGTACAAGGCGACGAGCCACCAGATTCCAGACCAAGCGTCAACCTCTCGGAACAATCTGAAACACAGGGCTTCTCTCGGACACTACCGAGCAAAGCCAAGCGAACATCTTCGTCATCTCCCAAGGAGCCTACTCCAAAGCCAGATCTGACATCTGAAGAATACAACGCACAGCTCTTGAATGATCCCCGTACGAGGAGCTCAAGCGTTGTCAATCCGGAATTCCTCCAGCAATATTACAGAGAATCCCGTTTACATCATCTTTCGACATGGAAGGCCGAGCTAAAAGCGCAACTACAAGCAGCAGCAAAAGAGAAAACAATATCCCAAGCGGGCCAAAATAAGCGTACTCCGGGAGCAAGACGGTACATCCTCCACGTTGATTTTGACTGCTTTTTTGCAGCAGTATCAACACTTAAACATCCCGAGCTGAATGGGAAACCAGTTGCAATCGCCCATGGTATGGGGACTGGTTCTGAGGTTGCCAGTTGCAACTATGCAGCACGGTCTTATGGCGTCAAAAACGGGATGTGGATGAAAGCTGCACTACAAGCATGTCCTGAACTTCAAGTGCTACCTTACGATTTCCCCGCGTACGAAGATTCAAGTCGCAAATTTTACAGCACTGTCTTGGCTCTTGATGGTGTTGTCCAGAGTGTCAGTATTGACGAAGCCTTGGTGGACATAACTTCCTCGTGCCTGGAAGCCGGGGGCACGGATGGCAGGGGTATATCCGAAGGATCTGTCTATCGTGAACAACTTCAGGCGGATGAAATTGCCCAAGGTCTACGGGACTCGGTCAAAGCCACCGTTGGATGTGCGGTTTCTGTCGGGATTGGTGGTAATATCTTATTAGCAAAGGTTGCGCTGCGAAAAGCTAAGCCTGCTGGACAATTCCAGTTAAAGCCAGAAGCTGTACTTGATTTTATTGGCAACCTCGCTGTCCAGGATTTACCAGGGGTAGGATACAGTCTTGGGACGAAGATGGAATATCTTGGGGTCAAATTCGTCAAGGACATCAGGGATATCCCTAAGGAAAAGCTGCTCTCCAGTCTGGGGCCAAAGACAGGCGCAAAGCTGTATGATTACGCCCGTGGTATCGACCGGACAGAAGTTGGGAACGAAGTCCTCAGAAAGTCTGTCTCAGCTGAAGTCAACTGGGGTATTCGATTTGTGAGCCAAGCTCAGGCTGAAGATTTCGTGCAATCCTTATGTGCCGAATTGCACCAGAGACTAGTTGAGAACCTTGTCAAAGGCAAGCAATTGACCTTGAAGATCATGCGACGAGCTGCGGATGCACCATTAGAGCCAGTGAAACATCTGGGACACGGAAAATGCGACGTCTTAAACAAGAGCATTATCCTCGGGATTCCCACCAATAAAAATGAAGTCATCGGAAAAGAAGCAGTCTCTATGCTCCGAAGTTTCAACATATCGCCAGGAGATTTAAGGGGCTTGGGGGTACAAATGACCAAACTGGAACCACTCAAATCTGGCGAAGCAGAGAAACCTGAAAGCAGCCAGCAGCAGCTTAACTTCAAGGCATCCCCAGCCCGGAAGCGCATAGAGCGCAATATCGACCCAGATAACTTGGAGAGCCCTCGTAAAGGAGAAACAGAAATAGTTACATCAGTGACCCACAACCCAGCATCCGACAGCGGCCACAGGCCGTTGAACATCTCAGGTACTCAGTTCATCCTGCCATCTCAACCTGATCCCGAAGTGGTCGCAGAACTTCCAAGTGATATCCGGTCAAGACTGAAAGCGCAGGCTAAATCTGTACGAGACTCGCGGTCCACATCTCCCTGTCCTCCCCCCCGCCAAGCGCAGGCGCTCGCAACAGAACTTCCCCCTCAATCTCAGTTGGATCCCGAAACTCTGGCAGCATTACCGGAAGATGTACGTGCAGAGGTGCTGGGTTACTACGGCCAATCCACTAGGGACAGCACGCCCCAGCCTTCGACATCTTCAGCACTCGCAGCACGCCCTCTATCTTCCAGTCCTTCGAGAATCATGAAGCCCCCGATACCAAGTAAAAAACGCCGCGGTCGCCCTCCGACAAAGACATCCGGCAACATGACCCTTACACAAAGCTTCGTCCGAGCACGGCCCCCTACCGCGAGCAACAACAGTGAACAACCCTCAAAACAGCTTACACTTCCAGCAGAACACCCGGAGATATCAGAAGACTTCCTCGCCGCGTTACCGGAAGACATCCGCCGCGAAGTCCTTGAAGATCACAAACGGAATACTCGTCTACAGCAACACCGACACCCCTCGAACGCGAACGTAACCGTCTCAGCCCCTCGACGAGTAGTCCAACCCAAGCCTCCTAGTCAACAGTCTGCACAAAAACGCCTGCGTCTGCCCCCGCTCCCGGAAAGACCAACATTCACATCCCAAAAACTCTACAATATATCAGATCTACGCGATGCGGTCGGTGCATGGCACGCCGCTTTCGTAGATGATGGTCCGTTTGCTGAGGACGTGACGTCGCTCTCTCGATATCTGCAGCGCGTTGTCATCGACGAGAAAGATGTAGACAAGGCCGTGTCGGTAATTAACTGGTTGGCGTGGCTGGTGGATGATGGGCGTGGGAACGAAGAGGCGCCGGAAAATAAGCAACTTGACGCGCCTGATAGCCCTTGTGATTACGTGACGTGGGATGATGCTCTTCGGTCCTTGCGTGTAGATTTGAATGGTGCTATTGATGAGAGGGGGCTGCTGCCTGTTGAATTTGATTAGTTGTATTTGCGGGCCATTGTCTATTCTGGTGGTTGGTGTTAGTTTCTGTGTTCAATGCCATCGTATGTATACACATATATATATGTGCCGCTCAATGTGTTCGGTGCCTGTCGTTAGTTGAGACATGTATTCGCAAGGATATTGACAGCAAACCAAATACGTAGTAGTAAACAAGTAACAGATATCGCTTGAAATCGCTTAGAAACATTACCAACAAATACATATACAATTAGATAAACCCAAGATTTACAACATCACGAGCACGAAATGAACAGCCCTTCAGAAGGCATAGCAGAGTCGAGTATTTCATCAAATGGGCTTGTGGTTTAGTGGTATAATACCCCCTTAGCATGGGGGTGGTCCGGGGTTCGATTCCCCGCGAGTCCATTTTTTTGCATTTTATTCTTTTGCACTCCTCGGAGTCAACGACTAGAACCCTACATTTTCCATTTATTATTATTTCTTTTTTTACTCTTATACAACGCATAGGCCATGGAGGACGCAACCATTATGAATAGAAATATTATTGATGAAGAACTAGGACAGCGTGGACACATAAACGAATGAGTACCATGCAGGCAAGGTAGATCGAAACCTTCTAATTCCAACACTCCCCCCGAAAATAATCCACCATCTTCTCGACAAGCCCCCGACTCAACGGTCCAGCATCCGCCAATGCACCCGAAACCCGTCTCGCCTCCTCCGTGCGCCAATTGAACGTCCGCCTTGGCTGGTCAGTATTATACTTGGCTCCGAAGAAATCGATCAGCTTAATCGGCGGGTTTTGAACAGGGTCTACAGATGACTCGCGCAGACGACGGAGCCATTCGCGTTGGTCGAGTTCTTCGAATTCGAGACCTGCGGCGTGGAGATGGGGAAGGAGATCGTGCGTCCAGTGGAAGGGTGTGTTGTTGACGATGTTGAAGATGCCTGATGACTCTGTGTTATCGGATGAGGATGAGAGTGTAATGTCGATGACAGTATTTGCGACAGTATCCACAGGAAGCCAGAGATGTGACTCGTCGAGTTTGGGGAGTGCACCGATTGTCGTGGCCGATTGGAGCATCAGGGGTATCGCTTCTGTTGCGTTCCAGATTCCATATTTTGTGTCTCCGATGACCTGTCCAATTCGGAGGACGCGAGCTCGAATGCCTGTGTGCTGTTTGGCGGCGGCGCAGAGGTGTTCGCCTACTAGTTTTGACTGCGCATAGCCCATGCCTTGTGCGTAGGTGAGTTTCTCGGGGAGGGCTTCGGGGATATCGCTTCCTTCGGTGTTCACGACGGCACTGACAGAGGAGCAGAAGTTGAATGTTGCTGGTGCTGGTCGTTGGGCTTTGAGGGAGAGGTCGATTAGGTGCTTGAGGCCGCCGATACTGTCTTTTCCAAAGCTGGCAAGTTGGTAGTTGAAGTTGACGGACCAAGCGCAGTGGATGACGTCTGTGATTTCCGAGGCCAAGGTGTTGTATGTCTCAGGGCTTAGTCCTAGAGTGGTTTGAGATAGATCCGATGGAAATGCGACTAGCTTGTTTCGAGCGGCGTCAGGAAGTGTATCGTAAACTCTTCGAGTTTGCATTGATTTGAGCAGACGGTCGTATGCTTCGATCACGGAACCTGCACGTACGAGGCAATAGACCTTCTGAACGTGCGGTAAAACAGATAGTCTTGCGGCTACATGACTGCCCAGTGATCCGGTAGCCCCTGTAACAACCTGCAGTTATTAGTACTCACTAATGCAGACATAACGTCCAACGAGATGTACTTACGACATATTCACCGCTAAGACCGTTAGGAGTAGGCTTATGCTGTTCAAACTGGCTGTACTTCGAAATAAATGCCCTCATCTGCTCCTCAACCGGCACACTGCTGTCTGTCGCCCCAGAAACAAGGGAGTCGAGATAACGCGTCAAGCCATTGACCGTCGGATGCTCGAAAGCGACATTAAGCCCCAGCTGCCGGCCATTTGTATTAAGCGTCTTGACAAGAACAGACCGCAGCTGCGTAGCTTGCAAGGAATCCATCCCGAGACCAAAAAAGTCAGCGTCATCGGTCAAAGCAGCCTGGGCCTTTGATGGTAGGATTGACTGTAGTTGCTCTCTGATGAATTTTTTCAAATCTGGCTCCGATAGTGTCAATATCCCTGTCATGGCGTCTTCTGTTTCGTACGCTTCGTCGATTAACTGGCTGAAGGTCCTGTAAAAGGCTTGTCGGATCACAGTCCCCTTATCCGTACGAGGGTACTCAGTGTCTGCTGGAAGGACCCTGACCATGGTCTTGGAAAGCTGGCCATACGCGGGCATGGCATCATGTGCATTCTCGACAGCAGGCCAAATACGTTCAATGATATCCTCATTAGACAAGGATTCCGTGCCAGGCGCACGAACAACAGCCAGCCCAATACTAGCCCTACCCGACCCAAAAACGACAGCCTCAGAAACCATATCATTCTGTCGTACAATACCTTCCATGTCCAAAGGATTCACTTTCTCACCGTTAACGAGGACAATGGTGTCGTCTAGTCGTGCGTAGTACTTGTATGCTTCGATCGTCGGGTGCTTCAGGAAGAGGTCTTTCGTGGCGTAGGAGCCGTCTGGTCTGTTGGACATCACCTTTGACGGCCAGCCATCGAGGCAAATGAGCTCAAAGATGCCGGAGCTGCGCTCTTCGAATTGAAGATACTTCTCTACGACTTCTGAGGGGCGTAGGTAATCCCATTCCTTGTCTTCCCGGGGCCGGAAAGAGGTCATCAATTGACCAGTTTCAGTCCTGTATGTCGTTAGCAAGGGTTACTATAAGTAAGCTTTCAAATACATACGTTCCGTAGTGACTGATAAGATTAACACCGTTCTCCACAAGTCGATTACCCAACGAGTCGGGACAAGCAGAGCCACCAAACATAACAGCCTTGAGCTTGGCGAGAACCGCGATACCCTTATCCGACTCAGCAAGCAACTTGAGAGCATACGGCACTCCGTAGAAGATCTCAAACTCATGGGTCTGCATGATGTCGAGCAGGAACTGTTTCGTGAGCGGCAACTCAGCATTGTACAAATGGAGCGTCTTGCACGAATGCACCGTCCGGAAAAGACAACTGATGCCGTGGTTGTGGTACAGCGGAAGCGTGATGAATCCGGACATGTTCATGTTCCCTGCATAATTTCTTATCGCAGCACCCTGGGTCTGGAAGATTGGTTTGGGGAGGCCTGTCGAGCCACTAGAGTGGATGATAAACGAGATATATTTGGACTCTTTATCTAGATCCAAATGTGGTGTGAGGTTTGTGTCGACATCTTCGGAAATGGGAGAATCATAGGACGTCTGAGTCGGAATCTTGCTGACTTGCAAATCTGGGAGTCGTTCTTTGAGTTCGGCTGCTGTGTCCTGAAACGATTCATGGATAAAGATGTGCCTGGACTGTGTTTTCTCTAATAATGAGGCGTATGCTTCCAGGGATATGCGCGTCGAGAGAAACAGAATGGAGTGACCGAGTTTCGTAAGCGCAAGAAGGGTGACCAGGTAATTGAGATCGGACGGTCCCAGTAGAGCAATCACTGCTGGCGTTTCCGATGAAGAAGTTCTCGGTGGGATACGAGATCCAAATTCTTTGGCAACCCGGAGAGCATAGATATCGAGCTGGCATAAAGGATAGTCGACATAGTCGGTACCTGTGCGTGGATACGATACCACGGGTTGCGAGGAGCCGAGCGATGCTCTGTGTCGTACGAGCTCATCTACTGTCAATGCTTCTCTCTCCGGCACCTGGACGGAGTTCGTTTTGGCCTCCAATGTCGAAACCGGGGGAGAGGCCAATGGGGCCTTAGTTTCCGAAGGAGGAACCGGAGATTCTAACATGGTGAAAAGGAACCGTGCATCAATTGGGAGAAGGCTGATTCTCAGAGAATATGGAGCACATCTCTAGATGAGAAGAAAGAGCAACACAACATTTAAACTGTCCCCCAAAGAGGATCTGCACCCCGCGAACTCCAGGAATGTTATCAAATCAAACGATGCTGCATTAGTAGACCATCGCGGAAAAGCTCGCAAGACCGGATTTTATTCCGACAAGCCAAACTCCAACCCTTTGGACCGAACGGATATCCGAAAAATCACTATGAAATCCAATGGATACTCGGAGCATCAGCCTTGTGGGTATATCCGATACTGCAAGTACTCCCAGTCCATTTGATTCGGAAGGTGATCTTATGCGCCGGTTGCATGACCCTAATGAATGCATCGGATATCACTCGGAAACAGGAAGAATTATGATACTGCCTTTCAAGACTGAACTAGATTGCTTATGACATGCGCCCAGATATGGTCGATATTCATTGAACACTAACTATGCCAACATGCAGACAATTGCCGGAATCCAAAATGTAAGTGGGACATATGATACAACCAAAAAAAGGCCATTTGGGATATAATCTTGTTGCGCTACCAAAATAAGTGCTAAATATCGTACGCCATTGACTGTACATCAAAACATAAACATGGATGGATCATTAGACGGATTTGAAAAAGCCTGCAAAGAAGTAAGTCAAATCGATATATTCAACTCAAATGATAAACTACACTCACCCAAGAATCCAGCTGAGCCCACCAATTCGGCCCTTCCAGGCTCCCCAGAAGGCCAATTTCAACCATAGGATCAAACGAAGCGCCAGAAAAGCCTGGCGCCAGAAAATTCTGTGGTGGAGCATAGTCCAAAACACTGGAATCTAGCGAGACTGACTGGTCAACATTGGTGAAAAGGAATTGATCTTGGTCTAGGGGATCTTCCTGATTTAGGTTTATCGGTGGGCTCGACGGTAGTGGAGACCCAATTTGTCTATGTACCTCACGTCTTAACTCCTCCAAGATGATGCTGTAGCGACGACTCGGGCAGTTTTTGCGAGTGGCCTCTGCTAGATGCTGTTGACAGGCTTCTGCGAGGTTGAACAGATCGTGCAAGCGAGTGCTATATTCTGTACCTTGTGGCGAAAATGATGATGAAGAAGAGGATTGGGATTGATGCTGTTGAATGATGTATATGTATACCACGATAATGGCGCAGAAACATACATAATGTGTGAACCAGAACGACTGTATCATGACGCCCTGTTTCGCGAGACTGTCCACGAGAGTAATGACATTCTCAGCAGCACCAATGCATTTTTGCAAGATATTCGCCACTGTCGGATGAGGTATTTGAGGCCTGCGGCTGAGGTCCGTGAAATCATTCAAGAGGAATGACCGGGTAACATGAATCATCGCATGGGAATATGCCAGCTGTAGGACTTGGCTCTGCCGACAAAGTGGCGGGATAAGGCTCGTCGGGCGAACGCTACTGAACAATGGCGGCATATCTTCTTTCCACTTCTCCAGCTCTGTCGTAAGACGGACGACTCTGTCAATTGGCGAATCTCGAGAATGGGGATTGATCGAACCAAGTTGCCTTGAGATTTCTCCGAGAATACGACCAATTCTAACAAATGAGCATACGTTAGTACCCAGGCGACAAGAGAAAGAAAAAAGAAGGGAGGGAATCTCACTTATAATGAAGAACAGACGCAATCATCATACAATCTGCTGAGCCAGTCCTCTTTTCCGGGTTTTCTTGTAGCATGTCCTCGTCATTCATTTCTTCAGGAAGCTCCTGGTCAATATCTTCATCATGGAGCAGCCTAGGCCGTCCAAACATAACGCTGAGGTACTTGTCCAGAGTGTATGCGCTCCAAAAGATGCGCTTTCGAAGTTCCTGTTCAAAGTAGGTATTTCCATTCTTGGACTTTACAGAAAACTTTCTATGCAGCCCTAGTGCTGTCACGAGCTGCAAGGCCGTACCAAATGCATACCAACATTCATTTGCTCGAGAGGATGAAAGCAAGTAAAGACATTGGCCTAAACGTGCTTGGATCGTCTCTAATCGCGGAGGACCAGATTCTATAGAAGACATGTATTTCGAGGCCGTATACCATAGCTCACTGCGGCGACTTAGTATTGTAAGCCATGATGTAACAGACAAAGGACAAGTAGTTACCTTTCATTCCCATGGTCTTTCTGAATCCCAGGATGTTGTTCCTCGTACAGAGTAGCCACCGAGAAAATCATGAGTATGATGGCGGTTCTCGCAACCATATTGCCAGTCGGTGGGTTAGCAATGGAGAAATCATTCTCATACACCTGATTCAGCCACTCGTCGACGCCCCTCCTGTGCAAGAAACGATAGGTTACAATGGCGTAATCAAAATAAATATCAACTAGCTCCCGGGCCTTGTCAAAAGGTGGAAGCGTAAAGCCGGATTCCTGAAAATTTGAGTATGGCCTGTCCCCGAACATGAACACAGATGTATTCCTCGACGAGCACTCATTCTGTAGTTCGTCCGTGATCGCAGATGATTCATCGTGGTGTAAGCGCTGCCATACTCGATTGAGAAAAGAAATGCCCGACGAAGGACCAAGATAGTTGCCCTCGAGGTCTGTAGCCACCGGCTCTGGAGAATCCCGGGACTCAGGCTCCAAGCTGTCTCTACAAGGCTGCGAGCGCGAGGAAGCAGTACATGCGAGACGGCTCCTAGCAGATCCTTGAGACGGAGGGCTAAGATCATAACCGATATGATTGGACGAGGGGCTGCTATTTCCACCTCCGCTATTTGCAAATGGTAGAGGCTCCGGGGGTAGCCCCCTCGAATAAGCAGCATTGTACTCGCAGCGCAGCGACAGCCTAGAACATCTTAAACATGGAAGCGTCCCTGTGCAACGGGTCTTCTTTCCCTTGCAGTAATCACATGCTCTAGTGATCTTCTGCCGTTGCGCATGGCTCTTGTTATTGTTTCCGGCGGATGAGTCAGAAGTCTTTCTCTTTCGCCCAGCAGGAACAGTGTTGTTCTGGAATGGTTCGACATTGTCGTCGTTTCCGGGCGAGAACTGTGCATCTCCCCTAGTGATTGTAACAGCAGCCATTGAAATCGACAGGAGATAAGGTGACTAGTTCGATGGCAGTTACTTGGCACTGTAAGCATGAGAGGTTAGCAGCTGTGTGCTTTTCCGGTTCTGAGATGCCACGGCTTGTACATGGAAACGTTGTTCCACAAGAACATGCGTAAATTCGAAACGAAGATAGCAAAAGCGAGAAAAAATAGTAGGGGAGAAGTTTCCGAATAACTCACGGATTTGTCCAGAATGATATCGTCGGTACGGCCCTGTCAGTGTACGCAGTAGTGTGCGGGGTTGGGGAATCTCCACATCTCGACGGGGAAGTAGGGCCCGGAGAGAAAAGGCAGAAGGGTTACCATCATGAATGGAAATGTCTTGATACTAGGAATACAAAGCTGATTTGATAAAGAATATTATCCAGAGTGATACGGAGTGGAAGGTAGACGTTGCTGAAAGAGACAATCACGCGAGTCTCGTGACCTGGTCCTCTACCCTACAAGGACTTCGCCAACAAGCGACCTTTTCTACATTGAATCGCGCCGGTATGATGGTCCGAGACAGTGCAAATGATCCCGAGAATCTTGGTGCCATTCTTGCATCGACAATCCGCATTGCCAAAGCCGATCCCATCACATGGTGAAGCAAGTACCATGCGCGCGTCCTTATTCCCAAAGCCGGAGCTCAACAACAAAAAGTCAATGGGTCAAATTGTACGTAGCTAGGGTGTCCCTTGTTACTCAGGTCCCAGTGTGAACGAGGCAGATTTATTCAGGAGGAAAAGCATAGAATAGAATCAGCTCGATTCGAGAATGAAAACAGAAGCGTGAAATCCGTGGGATCGTGATCATCAGGAGGTATATCTGTGTTCTATGAGTCTTTCCTTGGAAATGAGAATTGACTTGCAGGGGCGGATAATCCGAAGCTAGACTGGGGCGCAATATGGGAGCTAAAAGCTCCAGGATAGGGAAGTAGGAAAAGTAGAAGTATCCCTTTGTCGGCCCGCTGTTCTTTCGCAAGCGTCAATGAGCTGTTTTTGAAGTTTTCCGTGAGTAAACTGCCACCAGAGATATGCAAATAAACGAGAAAAGACAAGAAAAGAAAACGAAAGGATGAGATGAAAGGATAGGAATCAATCACAAAGACACAGGCAAATACACAATTGTGGAAAACCCCAGTCATTGAAACTTTCCCTGGATAGCTTGCCGCATTTCCAATGAAAAACCCCCTTCCCCCCAGCTGCCCCACAATATCCTTTTTATGTCCTAGACAATGAAATAACCGTTTCGTTCACTCGTAGCTCATACTCCCGGCTATTTCAACTTCCGCCAGACGGGGGAGTCTGAGGACGGGCAGAAGTGGCATAGGCTATCATCAAAAGATGGTCATGGCAATGGGCGTTGATAAGGCTTTTTCGTGTTTCCCGCATACGGCCATCAGGTGTACTCTATCGTCTCCGGTCAATGAATGCATCCCATCCTCTCATGTCTCATCGAGTCGCATAATTAGGCGGATAAAATGGAGGCACACCGTCCACCATCATTCCATCTTGCGCATCGTCGACTCCGTTCTCGAGGTTAGAAGCCTGATTTTCAGCCTTGTCCAAGACCTGATTGAGGACTTCTAAAATGTGGTTTTCGGGTACCCGTGCCCTGATGTTATGAATGATTGCAGCCGCAGAATCATCGTCTCCCTCTCGAAATGCCTCGATCAACAGCTCCTTGAATTGGCGCTCATAATCCCTTGATCCTTCAAGATGCTTCACGCGTTCCAAAAGGCGTTTATTCTCCTCCTCGGCGCGCTTGGCGGCCACCTTACGGCGTTTGTCGGCGGACTCGTCGACGAAACATTGACATCCTTGTAGCGTGCATTCGGTGCAGGGGCTGCCTGTGGTATCATAGCTGCACTGGAATATATGTGTGAGAATAGGATTCCAAATTTAGGCTCGGTTCGACGAGCAGCACGGGCAACGGAGAGGGCGGAGGGGAAGGGTGAGAAACTAGACAGACTATGACGATAAACGTAGTACCTTTGTCCGACGGCGTTTGCATTCAGCACAGGCCATTGATGCCCTTTTCACCTTGTGTTCCTCATTGGGACTAGGATCAAGATTTGTCGGAACAAGACCTGATGTGGTCCTGGGAGCAAGTGGGCGGAGAGGCCTGGAGAAACCTTGATGGGCCATAGTCCGAGGGACAAACGGGAAGTGTACCAGAGAGAGAATGTAATAAAACAAATCAGGAGCAATAAGAAAGAAAAAATAGAGAGAGAGAGAAATAGAGAGTATCAAATGGAGGAGATAGACAGAGCTCGAGATGTGCTTGTTGTCAAGACCGCGGTCATGAATTTGCGAGCAAACCCTAGAAACATGCTCCTGGCAGGAAAATGAAAAAGACCCTAGCAGTTTTGCGTATTTTGTGTTTTTGCCCTCTCGAATTTCTATAGGTGTGAAATTCAGCTGCACACAGGGGCGTGTACTTGGTGTGCGCGCAAGTCTGCCGCGCACGAGAGTCAGCGTACCTTTTTCTCTTTCTCCTTGTCTGTTATCTTTTCCTTATTCCCCCCTCATTTCATATAGACGCACAATACAAAGACAAAAAAAAGTAGTAATAAGTAGTTTCGCAGCTCAGAGGGGCTCCAAGATGGAATGTGGGTTTAGGCGGCGGGTTTGGTGCAGAAGAGAAAAATTGACCACTTGGCTCCGGAAGGTGTCTCTCACACGGGCTGACCAAGGAAATACATAATTAGATCTGTCCTCAATCCCCAGGAACCAGGCAAGCTAATTCTTTCGACAGAGTACTTGTACTCTAGGTACGCTCTGGAACTAGTGGTAGTAGGCCCGGAGTACGCAAAGCAGGGAAGCCGTAGAAATTTAGAGACGAGTGCAGCAGCTCTCCGTAAAGCGGACACTCATTGGGCGACAGATTACGGAGTAATAAACCGTGCAGAATACACAGCCGCCTCCCCCTTTGGGGCGACGAGATCTTCCCCGTTGGCCACTGTACCGTACCAGACGAAGGATACAGTACTTCATAGTACTAGTACAGAATGTGTTATTAATAATGCTTATGTACCGCCACCGAGAACAGTATGCTCGGGGACACTAGCATAGATCATTTGCTCCTGTGAGTACGCACTTCCGTAAAAGATGATACACATCACCCGGTAAGTTATCTAAACTCAAACGAAGATTTTCTTGCTCGGCGACCATGTTCGGAGATTCTCTCCGGTATCTCATTTTGTATCGAAGCTTTATTTGGGAAGAGGGGGGGCGCATGAGCAGTGGCTTGCTGTGCCTGTACGGAATGCAAACGTGGTGATTCTTGGGCACGACAGATTCTAACCCACAGATTCCCGAGCGTGGATCCATGGTTATTATTTGATGCAACCCGGTCCATAGTCCAACCACCATTGGGTCCGTGTAGCTCCGTGTGGCGAGAAAAAGGATGGAACTAATGCGGTCTGGCATTTCTGAAGCATTCCTAAACGAGTTTAGCCTCGGGAAATGGTTCCTGCAACTCTGATAGGCTAAAGACGGCGAGGGACAGGATCGGCCTAATTTCTGGACTGGAACGAGTTGAGAGGGACGTGCTCAAGTGGTATGTGCCTGTAGTATATCGGCACGTTGGACTGCCAAAGGAAAACGAAGGGTCATGCTGTGTGGATCATTCGGTTAATTGTTAGTATTACTTCTTGAACTTTCTCTTTACAACGCTCTTCTCTTGTTGAGCAGTTGGATGAGCTTGATATGTGAGAATTCGAGACTGAATTCGGAGGGAAAAACTTCTCCATTCCGAAAACAGTAGGTCAAGTGATAGCACGTGATGCATATTCAACCAGGACTAGCCCGTCATCTCTACACAATCCCTTATGTTCTACTCCATACTCTGTACTCTATATATTGACTACCTTCTATCAATTTGACCTGTTAGATCTGAACAGAGTCAGTTCGGACAGATAAGGGCTCGGTGGCAACGATCACATTGATGTGCCATCCATACAACTGCGTACATACTAATATGTATGAGCATGAATGGACAGGCTTGCTCTCTATAACCTGGACAGGTGACCCCGTACAGAGACATGTTCCACCACAGGAATTGACTTCAACACATCACTCGGCCGTACCAATATTTAGCATGTAGTGGAACCGGCCAAAGGATCGCAGCTCAAGCCGTGAGAGTGGCATCGATACATCAACTGGCACTGCTACTACGGGTACTTCGTACTATGTCCTACTATTACTAGTACATGCAGATGCATCCCCGATGATCCCTCTGTTCGCTTAGTTTATGAAAACCAAGAACTAACCCATGCACAGAAAAACACACAGAAACATACAGCGCGTCAATTGCGCGTAGGCTGTTTTATGATTATGACTTCGTATTTGCTAGCGGCTATCTTTTTGACCGTGGACCGGGTGCGTTTGTGTCGCGGACATTGGTACAACACTTGCACTAATATGCATTATCCACTGTGGCAAATTCCTGGGTTATCTTCGCTTCAGCGCTCCCGTTCCCACACCGTTTTCTGATAGGGCTCTGGAGGAGTTGCCCCCGTCCCTTTTACTGATTGATCATCGCTGAATCACACTGGTTTTCATTTGCGAGAGCCACCCCAGGCCAGTCTTCTATTTTGCAGACACTCCGTAGCCAGACAGCAATGGTTGATGGATATTGTCCATTGTGGAGATAGCCAATGACTGCGAATCCAATTCTATGACCAATGTCAAGTCCAACCAGGACAGCTAATGATTCATAGAACAAAAAAACCACGATACTTATTACTATATGTGCTTTTGTATGTATTATGACCTACAAAGTAACAACCGCCTACCACCGGTAACCCACTCCAGCCAATTAGACGCCACGGACATGAGTCCCATGGATCACTTGTAATATCATGCTCCCCCAGTCAGAGCAACACGGGGCTTTCTGCCTACTAATCTAACGCACACGTACTCCATAGTCCGTTCTACTACTGCATGGTACAAAGTACGGAACAGCATGTTCCAACACTTCGAGCCATAGGGGATCCAGGGAACTCAGTTCCCATGCACGAGTCTTCCCTCGCAGGATATGTACTACTACTACTACGGAGTACACAGTGCTATGCATATACTCGTACGTGGCGCTGGGGATCCTGTCATGTCCAAGCCAAACCCACAGATGATCGATCAGACCGAGTACAGAATACAGATGAGTAAACGAGACTATTACTCCGTGCGTAATATTGCATTATGTTCCCTGCTTTGTTGGGGATACGGACGATAACCAGTCGCATTACGGAGTAAGTGTTGTTATATGGCATAGCATATCAGCTTCGTGTTCGTTATGGGTGGGGTGGAATGGTAAATTTCTGGAATAATGGGTCAAAGAACGCTTCAAAAGAAGGCACATAATACTTTGTAGTTGTATTTACTACCTGTCCTAATTCCAATGAATCATAATCTCTGCTAAATAGATACAAGAAAAAGAAATAGGCAACTAATTAGCCCAAACCCCAACATAACGCCAGCGGCAAAAAAAAAATCCACCTAGTAAATAGGTCTTCCCTCGTTCCAAGTTCGCGATGCTCCACCACCAGAAGCCTGTTTTTCTGTCTGATGTTGATCATTTTGCCCTTCATTATTGATATTGCCACTGTCCGGTGACACAAGGAACTGCTTATTGCTCTCTCGACGGCCTGAGACGCTGCTGATCCCTCCAATCCATTCCCACACACGTGCAACATCGCCGCCACGACCCTCTCGAACTGCAGCCCGGATATTGGCGTTTCCCTCCACAACATTGCGGACGCGCCGCCAGAGGTCCTCCCGCCTGCGTCCTTGCAGTTCTGATCGCAACACGTCGTCTCGTAGTTGGCCAATAGGGATATACGGTTCACGAGCTGCGCCGCGAGCATGCAAAGCTGCCTGCGTCGCCAATCGATCCAAGGTTGTGCCAACAAGTTCAGGCACCCGAGCCATATCCGAGCGGCGAGCAAGTATCCGAGAACGTATGTAAATAAAGGCACCGACGCAGAGAATTAGAATTGAAAGAGGGAGTCGATAAGCGAGGAGAGAGAGTCGGAGGTGACGGCGGAAGGCACATGTGAGGGGGAGACGTGTGAAGGCTGTAGAGGAGAGGGTGAGAGCACCGGAGGGTCTGTCATTGCGTTGTCACCTCTGTTAGTTCTTTATGTCAGAACTGAGAGAAGAGAAGAAAATTGCGATTCTGACCAAATATAGGCCCTGGAGGGTGAATGGAGAAGGAAAGCGAAGACTTACTGTTGAGTTTTGGCCACGACCTCCTCTTTTCCAATTACTTCGCCCAGAGCTCCCAGCCACAGGTCGTCGAATTCAGTGTCACTCATGCCCTTGCGTCGCCTGTTTCCAATTTCCCGCTTCAGATCGTGCTCGTTAATTTCCGGAGATTTTGCTTCCCTCCCATCTGCCGCCAATTCACCACATTCCCACTTGGCCCTTCGATCACGAAGTTCTTCTACTGCCTTATCCGCAACGGCTTTCACCCGGCGAGCTTTCTCGCTGTCGGGCTCGCATGTTGGGGGAAGAGGGATAAGGCCGCCCAGAGATAAGGGATGAGATGTGAGAATGAAATCATGCTCACAGCGGGCCTCAAAGTTAGGGTAACAGAAAGCATGCGGCGGGCACGGCTCACACTGTGGCTCGAGAACATTGGCCCATTCGGGTACTTTGGTTTCTGCCAACGACCATGTAGGTTTGCCGATTCCGCAGAAACCGATCTCGACCTTCTCCTTACGCCACCAACCAGCAAAGCCACTTAGAAGGGATAAGATAACCACCCATGGGGCAGCCTTGCTTGCCTTGCTCTGTTTGCGTTTCCGACGACTGGGTTGCGTAGGAGCTGCGTACATTCGACCTGCTTGCTCATACTCTAACGCCAGTTGCTCCTCAGGTGTAAACTCTTCGCCCGCATCAAAGTCGCTCTCATCATTGTAACCCTCCTCTTCAGGTTCTTCCTGGTATGGTTCCAAACGAGGAGCCGAGACCTTGAATGGTGACCTAGTAGAAGCAAAAGACTCGTCTTCCTGTTTGATGGGCGTCTCTGATTTACGTGCACGTAGACCATCCTTGGAAGGACTTTCCGACACTCGAGACTTACTCTTTCGACTCGCACTCCGTAGTTTCTGCTGCTCCCAAGTAGCAGGAGAGCTTCCACTCTGGAATGGGTTATCATATGTGAAGATGCCATGATCGACTGGCTCGGGCTTTATAGATGGCTGACGGGGCATAGGGAGTTCTGGTTCGGTCGAGGGGGTCATTTCACTTCTCCGTAGCTTTTTAACAGTAGACTGTCGGGGAGTGGCCATATCCTTCCTGGCGACCGGTGTTGCAACACCCTCATCGTTTCTGTCCGTGCGGTGAGAAGTTCTACTCTGGGATCGTGCTACAGACCGCCTCGAAGCAGTCGCTGGTGTAGCTGGAATATTATGCTCATCCACATCTGCCGTAGACGCTCTTGTACCGCGCGTCGACCGGGCCCGTCGCGCACCGGTCGTCGACACACTCGAAGGCGTAGGTGGGGGAGGCATGGAATCCCTATCCGCACCCTCGTGATAATCCTGATAACCATCGAACGAACTAGCGACGGATGACGCTCGGCTTCCCATATCCGTTATTCCATCACTCGTCCTCTTCACCCGTTCGCGATCTCGAATTAGTTTCTTTGCCTGGGGCAGGACCTCGTCCTCCAGGATGCGAATAAGCTGCGACTTCTTCGCTGAGGCCGGATAGGAGACATCGTGATTGACGAGAATCGCTCGAAGACGGGGAACAGTTAAGGTATTGAGGTCGAAATCTGGGGAGAGGTAATCCATAGAGTCTGCCATGGTGGGTTATGTCGATATCCACCAACGAAACAGAAAGAGGGGAAAAAAAGTGATGCAATCACTGCAGAAGCGCTCTCGAGACGCAAGCTTGCCGCTTTATGATATCCAGAACGTCGCGGATCCGATTTCGAAATGGTATCGCCAGAGGGTTAAAAAAAGGTTGTTTCGACAATAAACCTGTCTATTCTGGACGCAAGAACACGTTGAGCTGGTATCCAGGGCAACGGCATAAGCGGGGCCTGTGGAGGAAGAACGAACCGGAACGTTGCGGCTCTGCGATTTTCCTCATTTGGAAGAAGCAGGCCAGGCTCTTTTCTATTTAAACCGAGAGATACTTCAAATTTTGTGGATTAACGTAGATAGATGGAAGGAGGGGAAGACAAAAAGGAGGCGACCTGAAAGACGCCAGAATCACAAACAAATCTCAGCATTATGTGTAATCACGTGACATAATGTGCCACATACAGACTCCACAGCATACTACACAGCCACAAGTACTGGGATGCTCTGTCCGCAGTAAATAACTCCCATTTATGCAAGATCCTCAAGATGCTAGAAGAACATGAGCGCATCCTGGACGGAGGCAAACTAAATACAAATCATGCAGGTCAAATATAAAACAATCAAAACCCGTCAAAGCTCCTATCCATGCTCCTGAAAACACTCCTGAAAACGCTCCACAATCCCTCGAGACGCCACACAACTGGAGTAACCAAGAAACGAGGGGAAAAAAAAAAAAATAAATAGTCAAAAGAAGACAATGAAAGAAAGTAAGCGAGAAGAACAACAGTTCAAGAAGATGGAGATGTACATCGGGAAAGATAGTGAAGATGGGATTCCACGGTAGATTCACCTTCGATCATGGAGCAAGTTGAAAGTACGATGATGAGCCGGAACTTGAGCCATCCTCGTTGCTGGAGTCTTCGTCTCTACCGGCCATACCAGCAGCACCGATAGCTAGTTGCTCTTTGAGGGCCCGATATTCTGCAAGTTGCGTTTGCAATTGCTGCATCACTTCACTAATTGGCGTAGCATGGTCTTCCAGCCGGTCGCCAGGCTTGAAGGGCTGCATCATATGTCGCATCGCAAGTGTGTTGATCGCGACCTGGGGAATGTTAGAAACGTAGGGCCTCAAGAGAGAACTGTCGAACAGAGATCGTAACTTACCTCGATACGGATCACCTGGTGCTCAATCAAGCCAACAACGGCCGAGTCAGCAAGCTCGCCTCCATGGTTTTTTACTACATTGTATAGCGCCGAGTTTGGCTCCTTGAGCCGCGTGTCTTGACTTTCCAAAGCACCACACAATCGTTCCAATCGGAGGGTGATTTCCCAGAGTCGCCAAATAAGATCGGTCTGGATCTCCAGCTGCGAATGCTTGCTGATGGTGGTCGGGGCCCTTTCTTTGGCTGCTTGCTCTTCCAACGAGGTCAGTCGTCCAGAGAGTGCATGGGGATAGATCAGATAGAGTGGCTCCGGATTTTCTAGGCCTTTCAGTTTCTGTTCACCCTGGTCTTTGATCACAAATCCCTGGCTATTGAGCTGTTGCAACTCGCGACGGATACTATACCCAAGGTTATCCATGGCATAGTTCTCCTCGGAGCCGGTCGAAGCAGCCCGCTCACTGTCTGCAAATACCTCCAGATTACGCTGGATATCGCCCATGAAGTCCGATGATACAAAGATTTGGCCTCCATCAGCCACGGCCGAGATACGGGATGCACGGTTCACCATAGGACCGAAATAGTCCATGCGATTCGTGACAGGATCCTTCTCGGAGACGGGCTCTCCCCAGTGAATACCCATTCGGACAGATAACCCACGGAAGATGATATTGTTCTCCGTGTCATACTGCACTTGGCATTGAGGTTGTTCCATAATTTCGGTGGGCCATTCTGCCTCTAGTAGTTGATTTTGACAATTGAAACACCAGAGCAAAGCGGCAGTTGTGGTGGCAAAGGCCACCATGAAGGCGTCACCTTCGGTTTTGACCTCATAGCCACCGATGATCCCGAGCTGTCTTCGCAGGATGTCGTTATGGATTTGAATCGCCGAGCGCATAGCATCCGGACAAGTCTCCCAGAGACCGGTGGACTTCTTGATATCCGTGAATATAATGGCCAGTTCACCGGTAGGGGCGTCCACGTAGTCAAAACGGGCAAGCCTAGAATCACCTGGCATATCGCGTGGTTTCTTGGTCCGCTTTGTGCTTGGGATGATTTGCTCTTCGGGGAAAGAGGATGGCCCCATAGAGAAGCCTCTGAATTTGTATCGCTCCCGTTTCTTCAGATCGCTAACTCCGAGGATCATCACCATCAGTTTGTTGCTAGCCCCAAAGGAGACAGCTAGGTCCCGGATCTTTTGAGCAGCGACCATCAAGTCACTTCGCTCCGCCCTGGTAACATCGACGACTACATCGGGAGTGACATAATCCCACAATTCCTTCGAGGCTAATATAATCATCTCATCCTGTTCTGTCAAAGTGACATGCTGGGTGTATGGAGCCGCAATTACCGCAGGCATCAGCTGGAAATAACCAAACGCTCTTGACACTGGAAGCGTGTCATTAAGCCGGCCATTGCGAGAGACAAATCCTCCGGCAGCACGAATCCTCGCCCTTTCCTGCGCTTCGGCGGGATCATGTGTGCGCGTCAAATATCTCATGGAGCCATCTGACTTGACAAGAATCGCCTGGGCATCTCCAACGTTTGCAATATACAAGTCCATGTTGTTCAAATACATGACGGTTGCCACGCCACCAGCTTGAATGTCGTCTTGGTTGAGGAGCTTGGTCGTAGGCGTACCCCGGCGGTATTGTCGAATGGCATGGTCGTCTAGAGACTTATAAGCTGCGATAGCCATATCCTTGTTCAACGCCAAAAATGTGCGCCTCAAAGCATCTAGTGGGGTTTCTTTCTCCTCAGTCCTCATCTTTCTCAGTTGGGAAGAAAATGTTGATGTGAAGTTTTCATGAAGAAATTTGGCAATCTTGGAGCCGCCAGTTGATTGGATTTGGCCGTCAAACATGCCAACCAACGTTTCCACATTATCCGGTTTAAGACGCGGGACCATCATATCAATGATGGAAAGATGTTCAGTTTTACCCAGTGTGTCGGCCATACCATAGGCAAGCGAGCCGGCCAATGACGCCGAGGTTCTTACACGACGATCTTCATTCTCCTCTGGGATGGTGGGTGTGGTGAGGGTAACATCCATCAGACCTAAGACGCGAAGATGGGTAAGCGAATTGAAATCGGTTAAATCGGTGGCATTGGCAGCCGGGGGTCCCAATGAAGCGATATTTGGCTTGATCTCAAGTCGCTTGTTGCCGGAGAAATTGAGATACCTGAGGTTCCGATTCCAGTTCCAATTCCAGTCATAGGGCCAGTTGGACACATTATACTTCAAGGCATTGCTGCCGACATCAAGACTCGCGAGCTTGCTGACTTTGCAGAGTTCGGCGGGGAGTACCTGAAATCGATTTGCATTGATGTGGAGTATCTTCAAGTTACTCCCTTCCTCCAGATCATCCGACGGGAGCGAGGTCAATTCATTGCCCGAAAGGTACAGTTCTGTGATCAACGGCCAACGTTTGAGCAACCCCTGGGGCAATTCGGTCAATTCATTATAGGAGATATTGACCACGCGCAATTCGGGAATCAGCGACAATTCGCGGAAAATATCATCCTCCAATCGGTTATCCGCCAGATATAGATGCCTGAGAGACCCGGCAAATGTGGTCGCTACATGTTGTGAGAAATTAGAATCTTTCCGCGAAAAAGCACTACCATCGGCAGCGGACCGGGCAGTCGACACTTTTCTTGCCCCTTGGCCTGACGATGATGCCACAGATGGCTTCCGATAACCACTGGCAGGTGAGCCTCCTGAGCTCGCGGCACCAGATGTCTGACTGGGTCTGCGTTCTTCATTCTCTTCAACCGTTCCCAGTTCTTCATAGTTCCGGGTTTCCGTCGTGGTCCCAGGCGTACCAGCAGGTTCACCAGGAAGCTGTGGTGGAGAGCTACCATGCTTCGGGAAAGTTTCTAGCACATTCGACGATACATTGAGAGTTTCCAGTTTGGCACAATGCCAGAGCTCCCTGGGCAGCCTGCTGAGATTGCATTCTCTGAGGTTGAGATATTTGAGTTCCGTAAGGCAGCCTATAGTTACCGGCAGCGCAGCAAGCGGGTTCTTGATCATGCTAAAATGCTCTAACCGACGGAGCTTGCCGATATTTGATGGCATGGAGACAAAGTGGTTTTTATCCAGAACCAGTTTTGTCAGACTTGGCACATTGTCAAATAATGAATCCCGGAATTGAACAAGCTTGGCGGATGCTATGTTGAGCGTCGTGAGTGTCGGCATAGGCGCATCAATATCAAATTGGGTCATCGGGCAATGGTCCAAGAACAAAGAACGCAGTTTGGGAAACGATCCTCTGAATCTTGAAATCGCATTGTGACCGGCAAACAGCTGCTCGAGGCGCGGAAGAAGCGAAAGATTGTCAATGTTGTTAATTGCATTGAAGCGCGCATCGATCTCTCTTAGATTCTCCAGATCCTTGAATGTCTCGTCGAGAGGCCCACTGAGCATGTTGTTTGTCATCCAAAGTCGTTCCAGCGCACGCAGTTTGCCAATGTTGGGAATACTGGCGATATTATTGAAACTAATGTCGAGATTGACCAGGCTCTTCAGATTGCAGAGGAAACTGGGAAACTCCTGGAAGCTGTTGGAGGATATGTTCAGACTGCGCAAGGATGGGAAGTTCCCAAAGTAGCTAGGCAACTCTGTCAACTTGTTATTGGACAATTTGATGCTAACAAGACCGTGTAACCGGTCAAGATTAGCATGGCTCAGTTCCTCTAGGCAGTTGTTCGACACGTCCAAGTAAGTCAGTCGACTCGCCAAACTGAAACTTGTTGGAAGACGCAACGCCTCATTTCCCATAAATTTTACCTCTCGTAGGTTGACACAACTTTGAATAAAGTCCTTGGGGACAT